CGATTTCTAACCTCTTTTCTACCCTGTTGAATTCATTGCTTTATAACTCTCTTCCTTGGTTTCTTTTTAGTTGCTTTCTTTACGTCCGTCTCCAACTTGACTGTCTTTCTTCTTCGGCCGTAATGATACCAGTTACTTCCACCAGTCAATGGGTCAAATGGTCTTTCGTAAGGGTTTCCATACATTCCATAAGGTCCGTATGGATAAACCGCTGGTGGAGAAGAAACATTTTCTTTAGTTCCATCGACTCTATTTAAATGCATTGTTTCACCTTTCATCTGGTCATTAAAGTCTTTTGCGTGTTTTGCAAACTCATCGTCCTTTCCTAAAGCATTTTCTGACTCAGTCGCAACCAAATTGGATGCTTTATTTATGAGCCCTATTTTATTTAATCTTAACTTCTTTGCAACCCAGCCTCCAATCTTCCCTTTATTTGCATCTAATGTCTTCGAAACCCTTCCTCCACTCATTTTATTTACTGCGTCATAAGCTCCAAGTGCTTTTGCTCCAAATACTAATGCTTTTGTTCCCATTGCGCCTAAAGCTGCCCAAGCTACCATTTACACCATATTAAAATCATCTCTCTTCAATATTATCTCATAAAAGTTCTCGTTACTGGAGAAAGTCAATGAAACATAAGTGTTCTCACGGGCTTCGCCCTCACCGCTTTGCGGTCTATCTAACTTATTTCTTATATCATCTATACGCTTCAAAATGTCTGAACAATTGCTAACATCTTCTACAACAGTTATTTCATCATGAATGACCTTCAAGAACAAGCCCATTTAATATGCAATTAAAATCATTTCAATAATGAGTCCATCCTTTCCATCTTTAGGTAGCACAACATCTTTCATTGAAGAAGGTTCAACAAGTCTTATGTTAAACTTACTGACAAAGTTTGTTATACTATAATGCTTCGGCGGCGAATACATGTAGTTTGAAAGACATAATATAGATTCTTCAGCAAATTCACTTATACTGGATTTTATAACAATGTTCTCACGAGACCAAATGCCACCAATTGACAATCTTGTAAGCAATCCTGCTGAACCTTCAACTGTAAACGTCGATGGTAACATTCCACGAAGGTCATCTATTGACATCGTTGAGTCACTGTATTTAAAGATTTTCTTAAAGCAATCGTCATTATCTAACCATGCAATAGCTTTGAAGTTTTCATTCGAATATACATCTGCTTCATTAAATGTAAAACCTGACTTCTTTGCAGAGACGACTTTAAAATCTATTGAGTTTGTTTCAAAATTATATGCTATGGTAACTTCTGAAGGTAATGGATGTCCTTCCGCAGTCAGTTGTTCTCTCACTACCGTTTGAAGCTTTGTATTAAAAACTTTCATGTCATCTCCTGTATCTAAGTTCACATACACAGCAACAGGGAAACTATCTTGCTTCTTTGTTTCATCATTATATCTCAAAACATTAAAGTTCTTCAATAATATTGTTCTTCCTGCTGGAATACTTCGAACCTGTCTGATTTCAATAGCTTTCTCACCTCCTACATACTCTACCCAGTGTCTTGGATATTCATAAGTATACTGACTTTCTTGAATTTTGGTTGGTTTCATCATAACATGTTCATAGTATATCTTTATACTCTTGTCAGTTAGACTCGGTGCTATGTTCTGAATATTTCTGACTTGCATTTTTAATGGAGATAAAATGAAGCATTTAATACATGACGTAGATGAAGACATGAATGAAACTACAGACAAACTTAACTCTTCTCTTATTCTTCCTTTCAGCAAAGATTATGAATTCTGTTCAAATGGTGTGTATTTCTATTGTGGAAAGATGGGTTCAGGTAAGACATTTAATTTAATTCGTCATATACTCATAACAGAGCGTTTAGGAAACGACTCTTACTATGACCAAATCATTATATCAGCAACTTCAGACTCTATGGATTCAACAGCGAAAACATTTATGTCAAAAGTTCAAGCCTCTGTCGTTAAAGTTCCAGACAGTGAACTCATTGAATTTCTTCAACGTTACATTCGACGTAAGAGGAAATATTATGCCATCGTTGAATTTATACAGTCAGGAATGCAAAAGACTTCTGAGGAGATGGAAAGAATTATTGACAAACACCACTTACGTCAATACTCAGGAGTTTACGATATGAAACGACTTACAAACTACATTCTGTCAAAACTTTCAAAATACCCCTTCAAAAAATATCCTTCAAACACTCTGCTCGTTTGCGACGACTTCGCTGGTAAAGGTTTAGTGTCAAAACCAGACTCACCATTAGCTAACATCATTACTAAAGTCAGACATTACCACTTAACTGTAGCAATACTTATGCAAACATGGAGGTTTTTAGCTTTAAACATAAAACGTCTCATAACTGACTTCGTTATCTTTCAAGGTTTCTCACGTTATGATATTGAACTCATTTGGAAACAGTCAGGTATAACATTACCTTTTGAAGAAATTTGGGAAGCATATAAGTCTCTCATCTCTCCTCGTTCATACCTTGAGATTCATATCATGACTAATACCATTAAAGTCAAAAATATTCCATGGGAACGACCAACATTGTTTTAAAGTTTAACCTTCAATTGACTGATGGTAAACAAATTCCATGCATCTCTGTCGCCATTTCTGTTAATATTTTTGCTGTCATTCATATCATCCACTTCCCCATCCGTTAGCTTTTGAGGATATGCGTTAGAATAGCTGTTCTTAAATGAAGGCTTTTCACCTTTGAGAGCATAAACTCTATAACTTTCTGCATACTTTATGTTTGAACCTCCTGAGCCATCATTGACATAAATTTTTATAGGCTTCCACCCTTTGTTCATGTTCCTGCTTCTTCCCTTAGCTCTTTTGTTCAGTAGTTCTACATCTTTATACACAGCACCTGTCTCAGTGAATTCAACAATATTTTCATTCGTTAGCTTTACATTCAAACCCTTGTCGAGTATATTGTTCATTTCATACATATAAAAGGTTTTTATTCTATATGAAATGAGAAGCAAATCCATCTTAGCTGGTGCCGTTAATGTTCCAATTGAACCAACATCAAATGTTGACTCACGAACGACAAACAATATTGTCATAAAGAACTATAGTTCGGAGTGTTTGAAAAAAAAGAACCAGATCTTAAGTCGGTGAATTTAAACACAGCTTCAAACGCTAACGCTACATCAGATGTTAAGTTAGAGTATCCACCACTGGACCAAATTCTTTCAAGAGAAGCCAACGACAATCCTTACACAAATGTTCAAACAAATCCTTCAGATAACGTAGACCATTACCTTCTTCAGTTATACCAAACAATTTTACTCAAAGACGATAAGAAGCTTTTGACAAATCTTATAAGTAAGAACCAAATAATTCTAACAAAGGAGGACCTTGAAAATGTTATATCACGAATAACAGGAAAGCAATGTGTCATTGACTATCTCGACCCTGAAATCGAATGCTGTGGTCAAACTCCACTATTCATGAAAATAGGTAACATCCGCATCATTGAAACACCAGGAACTACAGGAGTTGAGTTTAAGTATAGATATTCGAACGAGTATACAAAACTATCTCCTGACTATAAGCTTTGTTTGAAATATGTTTTAGTAAATTAAAGCAGTCAGGACCTTCGGTCTTGGCGCTTTGCGCCGTCAGTCAAAAAAATTTCAAGTTAGCAATTTGTAATATCTATCCAAAACTTCTTCAACAGTATCGAACTCATCTTCATAATGCAAACCTAATCTTATTGACTTGGTGCAGTTTTCACTAACACAATATTTTTCTGTTCTCTTGACTGACATAACTAACTCATTTGTTTCATCAAACAGCAACAACCAAAGTTCATGACCTAATACATAACATTCATACTTTATATTTTTAGCTCTGAGTTCTCTTGTAAGCTGTTGCATTTAATATTTTCTAAAAAGTCAACTTCAACAGTCATTCGCACTGGTGCCTTCAGTTCTACAGGCTCTCCTTGAAAGTCAACAAGTCTGAATTGCATATCTTTCAAATTATGAGGACTAATGCGAACCCATTTACCTAAATGAGTTGCTATGACAGGAACGTTTGGAATGAACAGAAAGACTTATATTCTACTGAACCTTTACTATTAACTCCTGAAATACCTGTGACATTAGCTATTTTAGACTCAATGTACAAACAATTGCCATAACATACGTATGGAACAGATTTCATCTCAATTGTTTTGTCAACACTTTTCAAAGGAAATGTCATATGGTATGCTCCCAGAAGCAATTGAACTCTATGACTCATTCTTGGTATCTTAAACTCTTTCGCATAACTGAACTTCAATGTTCCCTCAGAAGAGAGTTCGACATCTATGTTGTCAATAGTTTCTTCATTTATGAGAGTATCTATGACTCCAGCAATTTTATCTATTCTGTACTCGGCTCTGTTAGGAAATGTTATAACACTTCTTTTGTCATCTATTTCAATCTCTATGAAATCTGTTTCATCTGTTATGACAAAAGTTGCGATAGTATTGAAGTCAACAACTCTGAAAGCAAGTGCTTCATTCTGAAGACCTAAGTTTGTTTGTAGCTTTACTATTCCGTATTCATTTGGGTCTGTACTTTGCAAATAGAACAACATTTTATTCTCATTAAAATATGACTATTGCTGCATATGCGTATGAAACAAATGAAGCAAGAAGAGCACTTGAACTAGTAAACGAAAACTCAACTTTAACAATTGAAGGCCATGATTTAGTCATTGACGATGGAAAAACTAAAAAAGTCATTGATTTCGATACTTTTAACACGTATGACCCATTCATTACAACAAGCAAGGTTCCTATCATAAATGATGGAACGGTGCAATATATAAATTCTACAGTAGATGCCTCATTAGTGAAAGTACTGAATGTTCTCATTGAATTGTTAAAGAGCTTTCGATTTGACGACAACATTAAATGCCTAAAGAATTTAGTCATGAATGAGAAACAAATTCTCGGCGTTGCTGGTAGCAGTAATGATGTACACCTTATGACATTAGAATATTATAACGAACATAAAGATGAACTGAAAGGAGAGAAGGGTGACACTGGAGCTCAAGGACCACAAGGAATACAAGGAATACAAGGAATACAAGGACCTCAAGGCGAAAACAGTTTGGATGGTGAAGATGGAAAGGATGGAAAAACTGCTAAATCATGGATATGGAACCTTATAAATACTGGTTTAACAGCTGCTTCATATGGAGTTCTTCAATACCAAATCGGAAAGATATGGGCAGTACTTGGTGAAGAAGCTTTAGATGACGTTAAAAGTGCTTTGAACTTCATTTCAAATGGTTCGGATACTATTAAAACTTTATCTGGTTGGATGCAAGAAACAAGGAGTCAAATAGATACCGTAAGACGTATAGCAAACAATGCACGTACAGGATTGGATACTTTACGAGAAGCACAAAATACACTAAAGGAAGCAAATGATATTCTTGGCTCAGTATCAGACATGCATGAAGATTGGCTTAAAGGTATTGACAAATCTTTAAAAAATCACAGTCAGTCTATTGCTGACTACAAGAAAAGTATAGATTTTTTACATAGTGCTATGGACGTACATTATGGAAGCATAAGGAACTTACTTAATGCTAACAATAACTTACCAGGAACTATTAAAGCATTTATAAAGTCCTTTGTAAAACCTGGTGCTCTAGCATTTAGGTCTTTGAGCGCAAGAGCATTGAAGTCAAGAGATGCAGAAACTCCAACAGAACCTACAGAAGGAACTGAAACAACAGAAACTCCAGAAGAACCACCAAAACCAACAGCTAATGAAATATTGTTCGAATATTTTCCAAGGTACTCTGTTCTCATTGCATACATTCAAGAAATACTTAAGAAAGCAGACTTGACTTTAGGAGATGATGAAAGTTCTGTATATCTTTCGTTCCAGTTTCAAATAGCAGAACTTTTGAGACAGATATGCTTAATGTATGACAACATCTCTGATTTCACAAGATATGACGACGACCATGACCCCGAACACGGTGAAGAAGAAGTTTTACAAACATCCATTAAGACAGGAAAGGTTTTAACTCAAAGTCTCATTATTGACACCAAAGATGGCGAAGTGGACGTTCTTCAAGAGCTGAAGAAAAATACTTCTTCGGGAGGTGGTGGTAGGCATGAACTTGAAATAAATGAGATAGAAGAGAAATTAGCCGAAAAAGCAGATAAAAACCATGTTCATTATATAAGTTCAGACGAACAGATTATAACGGACTACCACGGATATTTAACACAGGATGAACAAATAAGCACTGAAGATGTTAATGAAAGAAGATATAAATTCATTCGTGCTAAAGGTTATGACATACGCTGTACTGTACAGTATGACACAGGTAAAGCACCAGAAGCATTTGGTTATAACGATGAAATTTATGCTTCTAGTTTCTCTGTTAACGGTGTATTAGTTGAACCAAGATTTACTTTGAGAGTTAAGGCAAAAATAACTTTTGAAGATGCTATTAAAAGTAAAGCCAGCAAAGATGAACTTGAAGCAATGAACAAAGTTTTGAAATCTCATAAACACAATATCTCCGATATAAATGAACTTCAAGCTACATTAAATAGTAAAGCTGACAAAGAACATACACATAAATCCCTCACTACTGTTAGAGCAGACGACATAATATTGAACTATTATTTGGGTTCAAGTGCACCTTTAGAGAATCCGAGTACAAGCGTAAAAGATACACTAAACAATTTAGATAACAGATGTATGAACATTGAAGGTCATGCCAGAAACTTTGAAGCATACGAACTACCAGCAATGTTAGATAAGAAAGCTGACAAAGAACATACACATAAATCCTTCACTACTGTTAGAGCAGACGACATAATATTGAACTATTATTTGGGTTCAAGTGCACCTTTAGAGAATCCGAGTACAAGCGTAAAAGATACACTAAACAATTTAGATAACAGATGTATGAACATTGAAGGTCATGCCAGAAACTTTGAAGCATATGAACTACCAGCAATGTTAGATAAGAAAGCCGACAAAACTTATGTAGATGAAAATTATGCAAAGAAGTCGGAAGTAAATGCTGCGCTTAATGGAAAAGCCGATAAAGAGCACGTGCATGAAGAATTTCAAACAATCAGGATTAAAGAAATTAAGGCATGCATCGAAATAGTAACAAAAACAGGAAGAAACGGTGCAACTGTACATGAACAAAGAATTTATCCTCCTACTTTTCCTAATGGTTTAATAACAAACAATATAAATATTGTAGAAGGCAATAAAGCTATAAACGTTAAACATGAACTTCTAACAATGAAGGCCCAGATTGTTCAAACCATATATCCTGTTGGTTCTATTTATACGTCAATGAATTCAACAAATCCAGCAACAGTTTTAGGTTTTGGTACGTGGAAGCAGATTGTAGATAAATTCTTATACTGTGCTAAATATTCAAAGCAAACAGGAGGTTCGAAGAAAATTAAAGAAGCAAACTTACCTGCGCACACTCATACAGGAACGACAAACTTTTCTGGCGACCATAGCCACTCATTAAGAGACCACCCATTATACAACTCAGAGTATGAAGCTGGCAATGACGTTTTATCTCCATCTTATAACAATTCAGCAAAAAAGATTTTTCGACCAACTGAACCGGGAGGTAATCATTCACACACTTTCACAACAAATCCAACAGGCTCGGGTGCAGATTATATGCCACCTTTTGTGACTATATTCGCATGGTACCGCGTTCAATGAACGCGCTTTAGCCTAGAATAAAATCTTTAACTTTACATAAATGAGCTTGAAAGAAGTATTCGAACAACATCCATGGAGGTCATTTAAGAAATTCAATGAAGCTGCAAAGAGTTGGGGATTTACTAACAGAGCTGAAGTGAAAAGGTTCTTTGACAAAAATGTTGTACATCAAACAAAAATAAACCCTTACGACTACTTTTTACCAATTTACTCCAACGCTCCTGACGCATACCAATTTGACACTCTCATTCAAAGCAGAAAAGGAGGACATAAACCATTCCTCATCTTCATTAATGTTAACACTCGCAAAGCATATGCATATCCAATGAGGAATAAAGGAACTCATGAAGTGTTAAGAGTTTTACAAAAGTTTGTAGCAGAACATAACCCAAGTACTTTAACATCAGACCAAGACAGTGCATACCTCAGTAATGAAATCACAGAATTTCTCATTAAGCATAACATAACTCACTACACTACTGAAGACCATAACCATAACATACTCGGCATCATAAACCGCTTCATAAGAACGCTCAGAGATTTAAACCAAGAGCGAGACTTTACCGAAGAAACAATGAAACATTTTCTCGAAGTATATAATTCCTCAACACATTCTACAACAGGACATACACCAAATTCAATGACACAACAACAAGAAGAAAAGTATATACAAAAGAAACGAAGTCAAACACAAAATATCAGAAATTCAACACAATTTACCCTCATTCCTGGTACAAAAGTTCGTGTAGTTCTTGACGACAAACCGTTGACAAAGAAACGTTTAAGGTTAAGTAGAAACTATTATATCGTAGACTCTACGCAAGGTAATGGATATCTTATAAAAGCTGCTGACGACTCTATTGCGTTTTACCCTCGTCACAAATTAGTTGAAAGTAGTAATGGCAAACTTGCTGAAACCATTGACGAAGCAAAGCGAGGAGTGGTTATTGAAATACTTGGCTATAACATAAACGATGACACTTATAAAGTAAGATATGAAGGAGGCGTTGAAGATGTTATACCATCTAAGAACTTGAGAGAGTCGAAGCCAACACATCTGGGACCATTAGAGCGGGAGTATTGGAAAGACAAAAATATGCCAGAAAGAATAAGAAAGTTCTTCTAAACTTTTTCGTTGGATGTAAATCAGACATGAACGAGAACAGTCATGATATTATTAATGGTACCATTTATTTTTGTCATAAATGTTTTCAGTGTCACCACGTCACCATGTCACCAGGTTAATTAACTTCTCTTAAAAATGATGACAACATGACATTTTGACAACAGTCCTGGAAATAAATTTTATCGTTAATGTTTACGTTAATGTTTACGTTAATGTTTCGTAAATGTTTTCATAAATGTTTTCAGTGTCACCACGTCACCATATCACCAGGTTAATTAACTTCTCTTAAAAATGATGACAACATGACATTTTGACAACAGTCCTGGAATCAAGAATGAAACAGCAATTATTTTGAAAGGACTTCAGGGAACAGGTAAAAACAGATTCACTGACATTATTTCTGAACTTCTCGCCGGTTATTCATGCAAAAACATTACCGAAATAGGTGAGCTAACGGGTAATTTCAATTCAGTAGTTGAGAATAAAATGTTTCTTGTACTTAATGAACTCAAGAATGTAGGTGAAGACAGACTCGCAAACTTCAACGCTTTGAAATCAATTATTACGGATAATGAGATTAGAATTAATGAAAAGAATCAACCCAGAAGAACTGCTCAGAACGTTGCAAACTTCATTTTCGTAACTAATAACGTTTACCCTGTCAAAATTGAAGTTGGAGACAGAAGATACGTAGTTTTAAGGGTTAATGGTAAATTTAAGGGTCAATTTGATTACTTTAAGAATTTGATGAATTCATGCACAAAGGAATTTTATGATAATTTACTGACGTATTTTATCAATTACGACATTTCATCATTTAATATACGAATCATTCCGATGACTGAAGCCAAACAAGATTTAATTGAATTATCAACAAATCCTTTAGATGTATGGATAAATACACATTATGATGAATTGTGTGCAGGAATGACGTGTAAAAATGCTCTATTCTGCAAACCATCAGACATGAAAGACAAAAACTTTCAAATGAGCATTAAAGATAAATGTGAAAGGAAACAGAGAAGAATAGATGGTAAACAGACGTGGTGTTATGTTTTGAAAGAAGAAATGAAAGGATTATATAAACAGGTTGAACCAAACGATAATGAGGATTCATTTACTGACGATGAAATACCTGTAAATGAAGCTTTATAAAGTATGATTTGAATTTATTTTTGCATTAATCCTGCTGTGTTGTCTAAATGTCATGTTGTCACACTTTTTAAAAGAAGTTAATTAACCAGGTGACACATGGTGACGTGGTTACACCTTCAGTTCTTCAAAAATAATTCATAAATGCCTTCCTCCTTTCGTACCTGTTGTCTAAATGTCATGTTGTCATCATTTTTAAGAGAAGTTAATTAACCTGGTGACATAGTGACGTGGTGACACCATCAGTTATTCAAAAATAAATTTTCTTATAAAGCTTCAGGGTCAATTTCTTCAACCATTTCACTTCCTTCGTCAATGTCAATAGAAGCTTCTTCAACCTTTGGTAAGAATTTCTGTATAACATCTTTGTTCGTTATTGTCTTCAGAGATGAAGGATAATATTTCACATTTGTTTCACCCTTCTTATATTCTTTCTGTTCGGAAAGATTTAAAGCAATACTGAAGAAGTCAACGTTAGAGTTCTTTATGACAGTATAATGAGTATCTTTGACATTCACGAAGAAACTCTTTTGTTTCAAAACTACTGCTAACTCTTGTGAAGTATAACGTTTGCGGTCAATGACGATAGCTAATGGTCTGACATACTGACCAAACTTAGATTCTTTCACAAACTTCTTGTTAAAGATAACATTAACATTTGAAGCATTATTGAACTCATTCTTGATGGCAGTAGCGAGAGCATTGTATGAAAAGAACTTGTAATCTTGCATGTGTTTTATTAAAATAAAAATATTAAATTATTTTGAAAATAACTTAAAAAATCTAATCTAATTTTTTCAAAAAATATTTTTTATTTCCTACTAAAGATGTATCGGAAGTTGTCTAAGTTAGAACACTCGGAAATAAAACAACTTCTTACAGAAGCTAATATAGATGTTGCAAAGCATTACGCAACAAACAAAAAAAGCACTCGCTGACATCCTCAATGACTATAATGGTGCAATAAGTTATGATAGAATTCATGAGTTCATAAAGCCGCAACGCGGCGAGGACGAAGTCCATGCAAGAGCATTTCCTTAAATGACGTTGCTATTGACTTATATCATAGACGTTCAGTACCTCATGAAGTAAGAAGAGAAATGTTTGACATAACAAATGCAAACGTTGGTGAAACAAGAAGAAGAGACGACACACTGAAACAACAGAGAAGAGAGATGTTTAAGAGCGCTATAGAACAAGTTCGCAAAGCTAACGATGTCCTTCGTTCCATTGACGACAAACCAAAAGAAGGTGAGAGATGGTTAAAGAAAGATGAAGAGAATAGGAAGAGAAATGTGAAGTCAGGCAATAGACTCATTGACTTTAACATCGAAGCTTTAGATGAACCAAACAGAGACTACTTACACAAACATTTCGTTAAGGTTTTCATGAGACTCTTAGAGAAAATTAAAATAAACTCACAACAGAGATGGATGGTATGTTATAAACTTGGTGGAAAGTATGAATGTTCTACGTTAAACCTCAATAATATTGGAACATTACTACATCAGCTCTTGAAGGAGAACTTTATATCAGAGATAGAAGCAAATGCTGCAGGTATTGTTGAAATGCACTATGACTTCTTCTTGACAAACATAAAGAATCTTACTGAAATAAAGATGTATGATTTAACAGAATATGAAGGCTTAACGATGTCAGATGTAAAGAAAGGCAAACCAAAAAAGAGACCATATAGAGATGAAAGCACACTGACAAATGACCAGAAAGCCATTTTGGAAGCTCTTAAGCAAACAGGAAACCCAGCACTTATAGAAAGCTTTTGGAAAGATAATGGTGAAAAGAAGTTTTATAAGAAGAGAAGCGGTCAGTTCTGGAAGTATCTTTGCACATTACCTATAAATCTTGAACGCTACCAAATCTTCAATGAACTGAACAAAAGAACTGCAACACTTATGACAGAAGACAATTGTTTCGTTTATGCTTGCATTCAGGCTGGAGTAAATGAAGAAACTATTGACCACATGAGAGAAGTCATTCGTGTTAGAGACTTTCCTCAAAGTAAAGTACAAGAAATTTCTGACGCAACAGGTATAGCATTTAATGTTACCATTGGTTACTTCAATGACTCAAGACATAATGAAATAAAGAGATACATACCAAAAGAATGTGAAACTGTTAGAACTATTGACTTACTTCTTGTTGAAGACCACTACATGCTAAATGAAAGATTACCAATGACAACATATTTTATCATAAATTATAAAGAAATTCTCAAAGCTTGTGGTGGAATGAACATTGAGAAACAGATGAAGATTTATACAAAGAGAGAGAACAAATATGTAGTTCGTTATGATAGAACAACACCGTCTATGGGATGTTATGAAAACATTGTGGGAGTGCAAATATTTCGAACCTATATTCTTATTGGAGAACTTTTCACATATACGACTGACTTATATAAACAGAACCTTGCACCATTTAAAGATTTGACATATGCTCCAAAGTATTGTGTACAACTGAAGAAGAAAGCCGAGTCAAAAGAAGTAAATAAAGCTAAATGTAAGTTCATTCCTGAGCACGTTTTCTTTGCTGACTTTGAGTGTAGCACTGATGGCTTTCATAAAGCTTTTAACATATGTTATGACAGTGAAGATAGTTCAGTGAGTGAAAGCATTTGGGGTCAGAACTGTGCAACAGAATTTTTGGAACGACTTCCTGACAAGAGTTTAATATATTTCCATAACCTCAGTTATGATATAAACTTCATCTTAAGACACATGACAGAAGTGAAAGGAACTCCCATCATTAAAGGTTCACGAACAATGCAAATAACTGGCTTATATAAAGGAAGGGCCATTATTATAAAAGACTCTTACAGTGTTATAAATAAGAAGCTTAAACTATTTCCTGAAATGTTTCATTTGCAGTGTGGTGAAAAGGAAGTATTTCCGTATCAATATTATTCAAGCTCTTTATTAGCAAATGACAACAGAACTGGTGTCATTTCTGAAGCGTGTAAGTTTATCCAGGATGTGGATACGTTCATGAAAAACATAGATTCCATCAAAGGTTGCAGAATAGATGAAAACCATTTCGATTTAGAAAAATATAGCACATTTTATTGCAAACAAGATGTAAGAATTTTAAGAGAAGGTTTTGTTAAGTTCCGCAATGATATATTAAAAGAATTTGATTTAAACGTTTATGACTACGTTAGTATTTGTTCTATTGCTAACAAATTGTTTGAGAACAGAGTGTACTTCCCGAATGGAAATCTTTATGACCTCTCAAATAAACCAAGAGAATTTATTTCGAGATGCATTCAAGGTGGAAGATGTATGCTGTCAGATAACATGAAACAAAAGAGCGAAAAGAAACTCATTGCTGATTTCGACGCTGTTTCATTATATCCATCAGCTATAGCAAGACTTTATACTTTAGAAGGAATTCCAAAAGTATTGAAGGATGAGATGTTAAGCACAGAGTATCTCATGAGACATTTATTCGATGACGACCAAAAGGAACCCATTGGTGAAAAGTTTATGTCTGGCTTCTTTGTTCTCATTAAGATAACAGAGATTGGAATACATAGACACTTTCCTTTAATAGTTTGTGACCCTGAACTAAATCCAGAACTTAACGTTCCCAGAAGTTCAAACACTTGCTGTTTAATGTATGTTGACCATATAACATTACAAGACCTCATAAAATATCAAGGTGACAAATGTGAAGTGTTGCAAGGATACTATTACGATGGAAACAGAGATATTAGAATAAGAGATGAAGTAAAGAAGTTGTTTGAGTTAAGGTTAAAGTATAAGAAAGAAGGAAATCCTTTGCAAGAAAATATAAAGCTCATTCTGAACAGTATTTATGGCAAAACTATTCTATCTCCTATTGAGTCAAAAATAACCATAGTAAATGACAAAGATGCTATAAGATATGCCATCAGAAACTACAACCATATAGTGAAGTTCGAAGGTTTGGATGGTTCAGATAAAACTATTTTCAAGCTAACGAAAAGCATTTGCAGACACTTTAACTTCTGTCCACTTGGTGTTAACATTCTGTCTATGTCGAAGAGAATAATGTGTGAAGTATTCTGTACTGCTGAAGATATGGGACTTCAAATATTTTACCAGGACTGTGATAGCATGCATATTTTCAATGAAGACATACCAAAGCTTGCAGCAGAGTTTAAGAAGAGATACGGTAGAGAACTTATAGGAAAGAACCTTGGTCAATTTCATTCTGACTTCGCAGAAATAACACCTGGAAAACAAAGTTTAGCTTACAAGTCAATATTTTGTGGAAAGAAGACCTACATAGACTTACTCACTAACGATTTAAATGAAGTTGCATTCCATGCACGTTGCAAAGGTGTCAAACAAGACGTCCTTGCTTTAACAGCAAATGAAATGTTTCCTGAAGCTATACAATGCTATTACAATGAAGATAAGAACATTCACATACCTGTTGGAACATATGACAAAGACTCTGAGTTCAGTTTAATGAAACTTTACAAAGCACTTCATGATGGTCAAGAGATTGGATTTGACTTATGTAAGTCTTCTAGTCCTTGCTTTGCTGAAAAGTTTAACTTCTCAATAACGACTAAAACAAGCTTTATTTGTAAGTTGAAGTTCTGAGGTCATTTATTTTTGTCAGCAATGAGGTCATGAATGAGGTCATGAATGAGGTCATTTATTTTTGTCAGCAATGAGGTCATGAATGAGGTCATGAATGAGGTCATTTATTTTTGTCAGCAATGAGGTCATGAATGAGGTCATGAATGATAAAAATAAAGCTAGCGTAGATTTTACAATACTGCGATGGTAGAGTTTAAGAGTTGTGCTTCAATGTAGAGACAGTCCTTATGGTCTGGAGGTAAGAACACTGGGCAGTTATGGTCATGAGTGGAGAACATGTCTATCCAAAACTCACGATTGAAGCCAGTTAATTTATAGTATTTAGGGTTAGGAAGTGGTGAAGTTCTTGTATGACCAATGAACTCATTTTCAACTCCCTTACTTAAGTTTGAATATAATATAGCTTGCTTTCTATCCCAAATGCCGGGTGTTACAATCTTTGAAAATTCATTTTTCCTCGGAAGCATTGCATCATAATTGAAAACATTCTTGAAATCATCACTTGGTTCAGAGATTTGAAATCTTATACGTAATGGATTTTCTTTCTTTTTAGCTACTTCATTGAATGGTGAATATATAACAAACTGACAGTCATGAGTTCCATCTTCATTTTCATTAAATTCATAATGAAAGTCTATAAGTTGTGGCCGACTACCTTCTTCTTTCAGTTGTGCAAGAAACTCACGTAAAGGCTGTAAAGTTTGTACTTCAATGTTGAACTTTTTCTCGAATATCTCATTAAATGAAATCATACATTGCAACAATGTTGTATCGTCTTTAAAGTATTTGTATATGTGAATGTTTTGGGCGCTTAAAGACTGTTCGTCATTTTCTATCTCGACTTGAAGTATAAAGTCAACCTTTCTGAAAGCATGTGTTATATACATATTTGTTATGCCAATGTACTTCTCTTCATTTATGTTCACAATCCAGTCTGTTGGAAACTTAAACGTTACTCTGTTCCCCTTTATTTTGACGTCAGGGTTTTCACTACTGAACGCAACAGATAAAGGTATTTGTCTATACATTTAATTTGGATAAAAATAAACCATTTACTCTTTCTTTGCTTTTGCTTCTTCTATAGCTTTTGCTTCAGCTTCTTCTCTAGCTTTCTTCGCCAGCAAACGTGGGTTCTTTTGTCTTCCAGCAGCTAATGCAGCAAGTTGTTTTTCACTAAGTTTTCTCTTTGGTCTCTCTGGCTTTTGTTCTTGTTTTTGTTCCTTCAGTTCGGATAAAATTTGCTCACGAATTTCTTTCTTCAATGCTTCAACATCTATAACCCCTTGGGTCTTGTCCGTAGGGATTGTCTGAGTCATTTGACTGCAGATAAAAAACAAAATTAAAACTTTAACCGATGTAAAATGAGCTTGTCAAAATCAGAGCGAGAGTCTATTATATTAAATGACGCAAGAGGAATACAACATCCTTTCTATTACGTAAGTCAGAGTAAAGATGGTAAAATATACGTAAGAAAAAGAAAGGTTCCATTAGCGAATGCAGAAAGCGACAACATTAAGGTGCATGGCAAGGGTGAAGTCCACGAAGCCCATATAAAACCTTCTATTCAAACTGAAAAGTCAATAGAACAAGAAGAAAAGAAGCCAGATGTACTTTCAATAACGAACCAAGAGCTTATTGCAAAGTTCGTGAATTTCATTGAAAAACAAACCGAGTCAAAGAATCCTGACCCGCCAGTGAAAGAAGTTGAGACAAAAGAGAATGTACAGTTCATTGAAAATGTCAAGAAACAACTTCCACCACGAATGCCAAGAAGAAGAGTGAGAATAATGAAGTAAATAGATATTTTTATCTGAAGTAAATACATGCAGAACGAACAGCTAAACGAATTTACTCCAGCAGAGCATATTCATCAGATTCGCTCATATTTCGATATCATAGACAATGCAGTTCAAATTGGTGACACTAATAGAAAATATTCTGACGCAAAGATTCCATCACAACCTGGAACTGCTAAAGATAACACATGGGTAACATTCAATCTCTCACCTCCTGGTGAAAATATGTTGGACCTTTACAATACATTCATTACGTATAAAATGGAAGGTCAATTTATTGTAGATAAAGAAATTGGTTCAGGTTCCAATAAAACAAACCCACTAGGATTTTGGATTGGTTTCGATGACGCTTTCTATGCAGTTGCTGGATATCAAATCCTTGCAAATGGTCGTATCGTATATTCTCAAGACAACGCAAGAGAAGAAGCATATATAACTTCAAACTCACAAACTACCGAACAAATAAAGAAAGTAGATGTTTTCTCAAAGACTCGACATGAAGATGTATGGAGTCATTCGGGAACATGCAGAACAGGACAAATTGTTAGTGGTCCAATTACAGCAGGAAAATCATTTGATTTTAAGCTTCGTTTAAGAATTCCTGTTAGAAGATTCCTTCCATTAGAAGCTATTCGATTTATTCCAGCTTTTGCAGGAAACATTCAGCTTAAAGTAAAGTTCAGTAGCGACGCCTTACAATGCACATCTATATCTGTAAATGATATCATTGCTTTCAATCCAACTCTTAAAGTTGCATTTGCTTCAGATTCAAATCCACCGACAAATAAATTTGTTCCATGGAATGAACCATTCACTATGATAACGAAGGCAGTAGAAGCTAGTGGAACAGTTACTATTACAACTGTAACCCAGCAACTATTTCGAACAAAGATGGATTTTAATGAATGTTTCATTCATCCAAAGTCATTCTCTTTAGACCCTAACATTTATACAGAACTTGTAGAACATTATACAAACGAGGCTTTATGTTTTCCTGTTAAAGTTATGGATTGGATTCCTATGGACGGTTCATTCTCAAAGAATACAGATAGTTCAAGTGCAACATTTACAGCAGCTTATACGCCTATTAATGTTAAAAGTATTTGGGCACTATTTAGAAAGAAAGACAACTATTATGTTAATTTTGAGAACCCTAAGTTTAAATATCTTCAGCTTTCCATGGGAGCTTATGGAAATATGCCTGCAGAACCTGAAAAGTCATATGGACCTGTATTTTATGAAATGGTTGCGAACGCTTGCAATACAAACAATGATATGATAGGATTTAATGAAGATGTTATGAGGTCATTGGTGGATGATGGTAGTGTGGAACATAAATGGGATAGCTATGACAACACACATTTCTTATGTGGTTTTCCAACAGAAGTGGACTTTTGCTTCCAGCAGGGTCAAACATCTACTGCTCCAATAACATACAAATTGTCTGTTAAAGGACCTATTGAACTAGCAACTGAAAATGTACCAAAGCCACTTATTGGATTTATGAGGGATTGTTGCTTTGCCATTCAGGTGCGTGCTAATGGAATCCCAATAATAAGATTAGATGACTATAACTTAGCTACGGACGACAGTGAGGAATAAAGGATGAACGTTTATTTTAAAGCTTATAAATGAGTTCTTCATCAAGCTCTCGTGAACCTTCACCATCTATGAAACAAACTTTACCAAACGATTATGGAGCACCTATTGAATATTTCTTACGAGCTGCACAATGGCAAAGAGCAGTCTCACCAAGGTTAGGTGTTCCACCAGCTCCTGTCAAAAATAGCATTTGGTCAAGTCCTTATATAAGATATGGTCTCCCACTAGGTTTGCTAGCTACAGCAGGAGCAGTTATGATGTTGAAAAGAAATAAAGCAAATGTTGTAAATAATACTGAAGTAGCTGAAGTTAAACAAACTCCAACACCTTCGCCAAAACCAACGCCTTCACAAGCAAAACCTTCAATGACTCCTGAACCTATGGAAGTACAAACTCCTGTTCAAAAGTCAACTCCTAAACCGACTCCAACATTTAAACCAGAACCTACCTACTCCTCAAAATAAATCGTAAAACTCCTGCGTTTCCTTACTGAAAAAATAACGTTTTTTTATTTAATATTAAAATTTTTATTTGATTGAAATGACAAATAAAGTCACTGAAGCAATGAAAAAAAGTTTTTGGTAGAATACATTAAATCAGGAACTATTCCAGAAGGTTTTTACGTTCATACTATGAAGGATGGTAGAGTTCAGTTTAGAAAGATAAAGCAACCATTAGATAGAGAAGGTATATTAAGGAAGATTAAACTTCATGAGGACAACATTGCTGAACTTAAGAAGAAGTTAGAAGAGTTGGAGAAAGGAAGAGAGTTATAAAGCAATGAATTCAACAGGGTAGAAAAGAGGTTAGAAATCGGGTTAGATCTAACCATCTACCCTAAATTTATTTTTGTGCTATGTTTTTCATACGTGTGAGGGTGGTGATATCATTAATTTTTAAGTTTATTTTTTATTTTATTTTTATATAAATGACGAAAACTATTGAGATAACAAACTACAACGGTCATGAGTTCAAGAATTTGTTCTTCGTTCCTCGTGAAAATACATTCTATCAGATACGAGGGAGAAAGGGTAAAGTTAGTTTGAGCGTTTATGAAGGAATGAAGAATGGAAAGTTTATACAAGCATACGATACAAACGGTAAACGTGTTTCATTAGCTTTGTCAAAACTTACTAACATTTATTTTTGACAGTGATTTTGACTCTGACGATTGGAGTGACAGCAGCGATACTGAAGAATATGAACTATTGTGTGAAGCACAGCAATGGGAAGAGTTGCAATACTTTTGTAAGTGAGAACGTTTATTTTTTACAGTAGTGAAGTCGTTTGTGAAAACGTTAGTGAGGTGAAGTGGTTGGCGGTTTTATAAATATTTAAGGTTAAGTTGGTGTTGTCGTTGGTGTTGTAAAATATACGTTAATGGTTTCGTAAAGTGTCAAATTCACATATCAAGTGTAAGGAGGCGCGCAGTGCCACAGTACACTTGATATGTATATTAATTGAAATCAAACAAAGCTTGACTTTTATAAGGGACAATATGTAGTATTTACTGATTATCGCAATATTTCCGGAGAAGCAAGAACTTCAGAAGTATCTTTAGAAATTCTTGGAAATACACAATATTCAGCAATTTATTTCGCTCACACAGGTACAATTACATTAGAATCCTCCAGTGACGAACCTATTCCATGTAATTTTGTTGTTTTTAATTTGAATTATTATGATTGCACTTCGATTATCACAAATGTAAGGTCTAATTACAAATTCACTTCTCAGGACACAGCTCATACATGTGTTGTTACTGCTTTCACAAATGGAACAGTTGATTACGATGGAATTTATATTTATGATGTCTATGGAAACAATAAAGCATATTTTAAACATATTAAAGAACCTTTTGTAACGATATTTAGTTCTAAAAGAGATAACATATTTGTTTATCATGCTGGTGACAAATACCGTACATCATATTTAATCAAAGGAAAGAATTCAACTCATAGATCTCTTATCATTTTTGATAATTCGTATCATGAAATAGATTTATCAGAACCAGTTGAACAAAAATCTGATGATGATGATCATAATTATTCTGGTGGTAATAGTGGTGAAAGTCTAAGTGATGGCGCTGTTTTGGGAATCATTCTTGCAACAGTATTTGTAGCAGGTCTCATTGCTGTCGCTGCTTACTTATGTTATAGACACAGAAAATTCAGAGCTGAAAATCCAATTAATCAAAGCCTTGTTGATAAAACTGAAAAAGGAGATTTACCTTTAGAAGAAACGAACAGCAATCCATATCCTAATGAATATAAAGCACCAGCATATAATCCAAAGCAAGAACAATCAAATACTTATTTCGAGAATCCTTATGAATAAATATTTTATATATATATTCTGTTTATGAAAGAATCTTTAAAAAATTTATAATGTTTTTTTTATAACAATTCTTATATTTAGTTTCCATAATATTACTCTCATAAGATTAAGCGTGTGAAAATAAGTTTATAACAACATTATCAACATTTTAGGCATCTCAATTATTAAGAAACATAGAGGATTTAGTAGTATTGAATCAAATTTTATAATATATAGGGTGTCCAAAGGTGCGTTTAGCACAGCGCTCTATATGAGACTATTAAAGGAGATATATGCTGATTATAAATATATAATAAAAAATATGAATATATGTATATGATGAGTATGTTGTATTTTGGCGCCATGCCGGGATATAAAATGAATTTTGAGACAAGAGGCGGTTTCGCGGGAAATTTTGGCGGGATTTTTTTCATTTTTTTAATGAATCATAAAGAAAACATCCTCGCTCTTGCAAAAAAATGCAAAGACTGTAAAAAAATCTACGAGACATTGGTAAAATGCTTCGGTATGGATGCTCCTAGCTATTCCACTGTAACGTATCATGTTAGGATGTATCACTTCATGAACAAAAAGGCGCCCATCATAAAAATTGACAAAAAATCGCCGGATCAAAGAAAAATCAAAGCAATTCTTCAAGTGCTAGATGAAGACCCAAGAGCATCACTCAGAAGGATAGAGGAGATGACAAAGATACCACGTACAACAGTCAGTTATTATCTGCACAATTATTTGAACTACAAACTAGCGTATACACGTTGGGTTCCGCACAACCTTAATTCAGTTCAAAAAAAATCTAGAGTCCAATCTTCGAAAGAGCTCCTCTCTATATTGGGTGCGTATCAATCCAAGAAGTTTCGCTTTTTAGTAACAGGGGACGAGTCTTGGTTTCAATATGCAACAGAAGCCAAAATCATGTGGATCCCGAAGGATGAAAATCCGCAAACATTCCCGAAGAAAAAAATTGACACACCAATGATTATGTTGTCGGTTTTTTGGGGCGTGAATAGCATCATCGCAATTGATATTCTTCAAAAACCTAATACGATGAATGCTCAGTATCTAATTGACAATGTTCTTACTCAAATTATCAATTCTGATGAGTTTGAGAAATCCAAACAACAAAAACAAAAGTTTGCAATTCATTTTGATAATTCAAGAGTTCACAAAAGTCATAAGGTAATGAATTACTTGTTGGAAAACAATGTCAAAGTTGTTCCAAACCCAATTTATTCACCTGATATTGCACCCTCTGACTTTTATTTATTCGGCACGCTAAAAAAGAGAGCTGAAGGACGCGAATTCGCGAGTCCAGATGATCTTGAAAATTTTGTAAGAGAGCAATTTGAGCAATTTTCTCATGATGATTTAAAGCGTGTCTTTCAAGCCTGGATCGATCGCTGCGAACGCGTGATTGAATCCAATGGTGATTATATTTAAATAAACTTTATATATATGTAACTTGTTTATTTCTATTCGCAGTATTCAGGTTTGTGCTAAACACACCTTTGGACACCCTATATTAATCATTTTCTCATAGAATTCAAATTAATTTACTATCAATCATTATTATAAGGAATTATCTTTCAACTAATATCATGGGAGAAAATTATAAGATTATCATTACCTTTTCATCCATTGACAACAAATCAATGACAGACATCATCAAAGAAATCCAACTATATAATCAAGATTATAATGGATGATCATCTGGGTTGACATTACCTTCCATTATTTTATGATTATAAAGATTCAATTACCAGAAAAAGTTATTTACCACTTTCTGGGATGCTATGAAAAAAATCAGTATATCTCTATTTTAATAGCAGCCATATTAGGTGATATATAGTGATTTTTATTTACTTTCTCCTGACCAAAAATATTAACTTTTGACCTTAGAATATTAGGATAGAAAGCTTGTATGTCAAAAAAATTGAGAGAATGTCAGAAAGTAGTAAATGCACCCTTAAAAGACATACAGAGTGATTCATTTCTGTATCATACCGTTTGTTACCGCAGAAGTAGTCATATAATGTTCTAATCTTCATTATTCCAAGATATATGTTATTCAAATTTACAAAAGAATTTGTGATAAAATTTGCCGTTGTGACAAATTTTTAAATTAAAAGAAATGACGACGCCAATTATTCCATATGGCGTAGAAACAAACACAACTTCTACTCACAAACTATTTAAAATTGACTTAGGAAACGTTGAAATCCCTACGACTATTCGGCCTGCAGTCTGAAAAAATAAAGTTAAACATATTGCCGATGAACATAATCTATTACCTCAACACTACGCTGCATTAGGCCTAGAACATTCGTTTTATATCCTAGGCGTTTTAAGAAACTATCCAACCTCTGGTGGAGTTCATAATTTTTCATTATGTCACTATGCTGCTTCACAAAATGGCGACATTGCAGTACTAAAAGACGCTTGTAAAAATCAAGAACATACGGTAGATGAATTCGGTCGTACCTGGGTGTTTTATTTAATTTTCAATCCAAATGAACAAGCAGTCGAGAAATTTTTAAAGGATTTTAACAGTGCTCCAACAGATCACGTCGATAAGTTCGGACTTACATTTATCAGCTTTTGGCTCCTTTTCGGACCAAATAAAGATAGAATAGAGCGTTATCTTCGAATATTCCTAAGCTTTCCTAGATATCTCTCTGATTTTCCTAAAGATTTATCAGCTGCACAACTTCCTACTTATGCAATGGCCAAATATTTACCAAATAAGTTAGATTTAATTAATGATTACGCCCAAATCCTAATCAAAAGATCTATACCAGAAGAAAAAGTTCTAAAGTCAATTATTTTGGCAGATAATCTAGATGTAATTATTAAGATTAGATCAGCTTACCTTCCACCAAACGTCGATAAATTCTTCGAATTTTCTTACATTAATAATGCTCCGAAGTGCTTTGAATGGATGTTTACAAAAATTAAACAAAATTTCGACGGATTAAGACCAAATCTTTTGAAGAAAGATCCAGTTAATGCATTAGAGAAGGCTGTCTTCCAAATTACTGCGACTCAGTAGAATTTATTTTTAAATCACCAATTCAATTGTTTTCATTTGATTATTCTAAAAGAAAATATGAACTCAACAAAAACTATTGCGTGACAATTCTTGATGCAATGAACATTAAGGTTTCACAAAACTATTTCTCAGAAGAAAGCGAATTTAGATATTTTGATGAATCTTTTCACGATTTCGAACTCATCACTGACAATCTTTCTTATGATACTAAATATTTCGTATCATTCTTTTCTTTTAGAAGCAAATCTCAAAATGTTGTTGCAAATATTAATATCTCTTCCTATTCTTCAATCACACGCTCATTTTATGAGCAAGGTAAGCTTAAATACTTTGCTGATGAATCAATTTCTATTCCTCTTATTTCAAAATACAGAAATTACGGAAATCAAAATTTAATTATTAATAAAACTCAAACAAAAATGGAAATTTTTGCAAATTCATATGTAGTATTTACAGATTATGACCAAATCTATGGTTTTGCAGAAACTTCAAATTCGAAATTAATAATTCTTGGAAATACTTCGATTTCTGCTGTATATTTTAGTGTATCTGGAACTATATCATTATACACATATGAAAATGATTCAATTCCTTGCAATTTTGTTGTTTATCGTATGAATGGATTATCTTTTAATAAAATGATAACTGTTGTAAGAAACAATTACAGCATATCCAGTTATGGTGAGAAAGATATTTACGTTGCTGTTGCATTCACTAAAGGATACGCTTTTTCATACCCTACCGATTCCATGACTACATATTTACCAGAAGGAAAACGTGCTGATCCGAATTTTAGACCTTATTTGGCACGTTTAAACAAAAATGACAACTATTCATTCATATATTATTCAAAAGATAATTATTCCAATTCATATATTATAAATGGAAGTCAATCAGATCATAAGGCTTATCTCATCGGTGAAAACTCATATGCTGAACTAAATTCATATGAGCCTTCTAAGCCTATTCCTGTTGATCCAGACGACAAAGATAAAGATAAGGATAAAGCTAAAAATGAAGATGAAAATGGTAGTAATGGAAGTGCATTAATTGGTATTGGAGCTGCAGTTGGAGTTCTTGTTGTATGCATTACATTGATTACTTTTGTTTTATTCTATCTTCGCAGAAGAAAGGACAGAAATCAAACAATGAATCAAAGTTTGATTGATAATTCAGAGAACCCAATTCAATTAAAAGAAACTCACATTAATCCTTACTCAGCTGAGACTAATCCACAAGAATATAATCAGGAGAAGTACGATCTGAAAGCGAAATTTGAAAATCCATATGAATAAATATGCTTATGTAATTTCTCAATTTTTATATGTAAAAAATCTTAAATTATTCATTAAAATAATCGTATTTTATGAAATTGACTGAACGAACGATAAATTGTGATTAATTGTCACTTTTATTGTAATTAAAATAATTTATCATCGATTTCATAACAAAAACAACTAATAAGGCGATAACTTAGCAATGAATGGAATGCCTCGGAATTTGAAAGATATCCCCATAAAGAAGGTTTGAATAAAGATTTATAGTAAAGAGCAATTTTAATAATTTTATGTGGCCGCTTCCAAGCTATAAAGCATTTTCTGTCAGAACTACATATGGAGCTATTGAACTCTCTTTTGCTAAGTACTTAAACTTCACTTACACTCCACTTTTCATTGAAAATATAAATTTAACTTCCTCAAATCTTATATTCAAAAACTGTTATTCCGATTATGAAATTAACAATTCATTAAATTTAACGCCAAGCAATATTTATTACAATGGAAATTTTGTTTCATTAAATATGATTTATGTGTCAGATTGTGTATCAGCGAAAGGAGGCCAAATCATTACCACAATGCCAAATACAATTAATCATAAATCAGAGTTCAACGAAACTTCTGTAATAAGCTCCATTTCTATTGTCGATTCTACTATTTTTTATTTTGGAAATATTTTGTCAAATTTTTTGAATTATTCTGACTTGATTGGATCTGGCATTCATGCTGGTCAATATCCAATCCAGTATGATTTCTCTTATATTAACATTATGAATTGTAAATGCGGCTTTAATTATGACGAATCAGATACAGAGTCCGGAAGAAATAATTTTCTGAATATTGTAAATAATACTTGCACCCAATATTTACTTTATTTTTATGCAAACAATCATATCATTTCCAATTTTATTATAAAGAATAATATATATCCAAGTTTGATAAATTCTCAACACTACTGTGTCTACGAAAACATTTTTATAGATGATAATGTAAATCAATACGGATTTATTCAGAAAGATATAAATACATATGACATAAAAATCAAACAAATCAAAATTATGTTTGATTATGAGCCAAAATGCTTTAAACAGTCAGCTCAAAATTTCTATTTATATTTTGAACTTCGTAATTTGTATCAAACTTTCATATTAAGTTATAACAATTAAATAATAGATCATATTAGATATCAGTGATAAATGAATTTGATGAACGGATTTTAATATTTTATTTGCATATTTCCATAATTTTTCTAAATAACGTCATCTAATGAGAATGGAATAATTAACTAAATAAAACAATAATTAATGCTTATGACTTTTTAAGTGTATAAAAGTTTTGTATTGACAGTGATATTAAATAACAGAAATAAAGTCGTCACTTTTGTTTGATTTGTTATATAATATTAAATTCTGATAAACTACTTTTCATATTCTTCGGGTCTATTCAGTTTGCTATCGTCGGATTTTAATGGAAGCGTCTGAGAGAACGGTATAAGAAAGCATAATTTCAGACCTATCTGACGTTCCCATCTATAATGTATATGATTTAATTAATTAATAGAAATTTGGAATATATTTTTATGATCAAAACAAAACAAAAACTAAAAAATATGAATAACTTATTGAAAATTTACATCTGTTCATATTACATGAGTCAAATAATTCAAATTTATTTTTTGAGACTTTGACCCATAAACTAACTTCAGAAACCGCTAAATCATTTGATGGCATTAAGTAATAATGTGGCCATCCACTATCAATCGAATGATATCTTCCAATTGAGAAGAACCAATTATTGCCTCCAGGACATCCATCTAAATATGTATATGCTTGTCGAGACGATAACAACAAACCGCCAAAAGTACAAGAATAATATTGTCTATTAGCTAGAAGTCTAATTGGTCGATATCCAGTGACATTATATAGGGAATTTCCACTGGTGACTTTGTCTGTTTCATTGATTGGATTATTGGATTGTTGCCAATAGTTATAAGTTAATAACTCGGGATAATAAAGAACAAACGTGAACTTAAAATCCGAATCTCGTTCCGAATCAGAAAGTTCGGAAAGAATAGAATATTTATCTGAAATATCAGAATGTAAGACTTCTGAACTGTCGTTGAAATAAACACTTGGTAAGTTTTTGTGTTCAAAGACTTTTAAGAAGACATTGTTATCAAATATACTATACTCTCTATTGCCAATTTGAAATCTCTTTCTAAATAATGTCAACGGAAATCAAAGAGAGGATAAATCAATAAAGATTAATTGTCACTTTTTGAAATTTAATTAACTCTGACTGATTCTAATCTTGAACATAATAATGAAAGTTTTGTTAGTACATTCGATCTAATTAGAAGAAATGTGAAAGAGTTTAGTGGTTCGTCATGGCTTTTGATTTTTCACCACGACTCTTTTGACTCTAAATACTTTTCACGAGATAATTGTAAATACAATATTGATCCACAATTATATAGTCTTATCGATGATGAAAATCTTTATCGAGAAATGTATAAAAAATTTGGACATTTTACTTTTTTATTAGAATATCCAGAAGTTCCTACATATCAAATCTTTTCCCAAAAAGAATATATTACATCTAATGTCACAGATGTTGGATATAAACAAATTAAAGGTGATGATTGGAATGATTTTCATGGATTAGCTCGTTCTAACTATTATGATCATTCATTTCTTGATGGAACACCAGGATTCACTGCTAATAACTGGTATTTTTCCATAGGAGCATGGGATTATACTCGTCAACCAAGATATCCTGGACCACGAATTGGTGATAAAAGTTACAATGTATATAATGTGAATCTTTGGATTATGATTCCATCATTTCCATCTTTATTTTGCAAATACAAATTTAATGTTGATTTTCTAACTATTGCTGTCTTTATTATATTATAAACATTTTAAAAGAAACTTATAAAATCGATAAATTGACTTTCAACAAAAAGATGAGAGCTGGAACTCATTAGGATCCTAATCCTGTGAATATATTTTGAAAGCTTGATAAAACTGAAAACAATTTTGTAACTTGAATACTCTCAATTTTTTGACACCAAATACATTAATTTTGAACTATTTGGGGATCTATTATAACTTTCAGCTTTAGCATACCATAAATATATATAATATCCCAAAAATGATTTTCTTTACTCTGAAAAAATGGTCTCACAAGTAATAAAATGTCAAAAAATTGAGAGAATGCCAAGTGGGTGTATGTGCATATTTAACCTTTATTAACAGCTTCAAGCTGCAAACATTGTTATGGTTCACTCACAAAATTTCTGTTAATGCTATGCCTAATTCACTAAAAGAGAAAGAAAATATATTTTCTTATTAGGTAATAGTAATTTGAATCAGGGATATGAAATAAAGTGAAAATGGAAATGTATAAAATTGATAATTGCATTGATTAGTTTTGATGATAGGTAACAATAGAAATGAGTTTGGACAGAAATCATTTTCACAAATAAAGTTGTTGTCTGAAATAGAGATTCCTGCAAATGTTTGACCACCTGAATATAAATGTGTAACATGAACATTCATTCCTGCTGGGAGAACATAAGGAACATCATAAAATCCACAATATTTGATATCTGTGATAAATGAATTTTCGAATGCTCTCGCATGAATTGTTTTCAAATTAGTGGGCAATGTGAGAGATGTCAATTTCCTTGTACCTGAGAACAAGACATAACTAAAGGTTTCGACAGTATTTGGAAGTTTCAATTCAACAAGATTATAACACCATGAAAATGCTGTATACTCTATTCTTTTAAATATTCCACAGCTCAAATCAACTCTTTTAAGATTATAACAACTTCGGAACAAAAAACTTCCAGCTTTTTCAATCTTGTTTTTCAGGATAAATTCTTCGAAACTACAACTGCTGAAACCACGAGCATCACTAATATATTTAACGGTAGGAACAAGGTCTGTGAAGTTATAATTACATGGAGCACCATACAATGTCGTGAAGTATTGATCATACAAAACTCCATTGAAAACAACGAAATTTGGACTTTCACTTATGAAAAGAGACAACTTCAGACAATCAACGAATGCAGCTTCAGATATTTTAGAAACGAATTTAGGAATTGTGATATTACAAAGATTAGTACAAATTGTAAATGACCAACCAGATATTTCAACCAAATTAGGAGGCAAAATAACGTTTTCAATAAGAGAACTTGCAAAACTTGTCGTACCCATGTTCTTTAGTTGCGTGCACGCAGAAAAGTTTGCAAATTTTACTTTTGAATTTAAAAATACACTGGCTCCAAAACTTCGAAGAGAAGAAGGGAATTGGATTGTTTCAACTGAAGAATTTGAAAAACAAGCTTGTCCAATTTCTTCAATCGAATCTGGAAGATTAATCCTAATGAATGTGCAGTTACAGAAGCAATAGCTACTAAGTTTAATAACAAGTTTGCCATCAATTTCTCGAGGAACAGTTAATTCATCTGCAAATGTAGTTGAAATTGCAGAGCTAACACCATCTCCTATCTGTACGAAGATAGTATTATATGTTTTGAATTTGATATCAACGCCATTACTATTATAAATGTTCAGTTCTTATAAAACATTCACTTTAGTTTTATTATGTCAGTTTTTACATGTGTTTCAATTTTGAGAGTCTACTCAACTTCTCGATATCTCAGAGTATTTGCAACTAGTCCATTAGTGCATTTGATAATAAACGCACCATATGATAATCTACATTTACGACAACAAGAATAATAATTTTTTATTTTAAGAATGAATACCAGATTTAAGGGTATCATAAAAAAGGGCTGATATAAAAACTGTTGATGAAAGCATCTGAACAATAAAATATTTAAAAATTAATTAATTTTATGTTTTACAAATTACTAGAACACAAAGGACATTGATTATGGTTTGATTCGAGACACTTTTCGCATACATGTGTCCCACATTTACTACAAACAACTTTGAAATTGTGAATATTGCAAATCGAACATTTTTCTATCTCACAACCATCAATTTCATCAATTCTTGAGAGAATGATTGATCTTATTTGGTGGAAATCCAGTTTATTCAAGAATTCTGACTGGAATTTCCAAGAATCAAGACTTTTATGGATAAAATCATCTCTAGACAGATTAATTCTGCCGAAAATCTCTTGGCTCTGAACAATTTGAACTAAATTTTGTTCGAAATTTTCATATGAGTCAAAGGCTTCATTTAATTCATCAGCAGACATCTCAGATTTAATTGCATGCTCTAAAAGTGATCCCAAGTATCTGTGTTTGAAGATTTGGAAGTTTTTGTTGAACATATCAGAAAATATAGAAATATAAGAAGAATTCGACTCATTGTGCTTGATCACATAGCTTGGATAGAGAGAAATCTCATTTCTGACATTAACTTTCTCAATAAAATTCTTAATTTTTCTTAATTTTTCTAAAACCTTGTTCAAATCTGGTTTAAAAGAGTCCAATATCTTGTATATTTGACAAGCTATAAGTATCTGGTAAATATTTAGCTTATCTGGTGTTTCCAAATCTTTTTTGATATTATTCATTAGATTTTGACAATCTGCTTGTGGATTTGTTTCTATTTCTTTAATGATAGTTGGTAATATTTCAGATTCAAGTGATTCGCAAAGAGAATTATATAAAATTCGATATTGTTCGTAACAAATCTTTGTTTGCTTAAATTTATTAAATGCATCTAATGCACTACTGATAGATGCTTGTAATTTTGCTAGTTTTTCATTGAACTCGGTGATAACTTTTGAAAATGAAAAATTCTCTGATTTATCAATAGATTTAGCGATATCTAGAATAGACATTGCAAAATTTTTAAGTGCTTCGTATTCATTTGGCTTGATAAGTTCATTAGTTCCATTTTCCAACACATAACAAGCGTTTTTCTCTATCAAATCATTCCAATTGAGATTGAGTTGAGCAAATGTATAAGTGAATATGGGAAATTCAGCTCTTTTTAGACTAGAAAGAAATTTGACTAAAGATTGATTTTCGAAAGGAATTGGTTTTTCAAAAGTTAGGCCATAGAATGTCTTCTGAAGTGAGAAAATAAATAATAGCAGGCCAATTTTCGTATTCTTTTGAATAATATAAGTTTCTGATAATTGTTGAAGGAAATTAGCGCCTTTAATAGTATATAAAGCAATAAATCTGTGTATGTTATTCAGTTGGGAGGAGTAATCGCTCAGGTAATTATTTGTGATAATGGAATAAATATTTGTTTGAATTTGATGGAATTGAGAATCGGAGAGTTGATCAAGGAGATGTATTGCATTCTGAAAATGATTTTTGTTAAGTTCCGTGATTATTTGCAAGGCAGGATCAGGATTTTCAGTCATTTTAGTGGTAAATTTTTATTTTTTTCAAAATAAGGATTGAAAATAAAAGTTAGAATGTAAACTAGAAAATAATTAAATAGTTAAATAATTCCATGAATCGAAGAAGTGATGTGGAATAGTTGGTTTAATTCGTAAGGCTCATAACCTTAAGGTCGCTGGTTCGAGTCAAGTTATCGCTCTTTTTTGAATGATTTCAAACATTTAGTATTTTTCTTTTTCAATTCCTTAAGTTTCTATTGCCGCGACATTTCTTATGAGAAATGTTTCTTTTTATGTAGAAATTCAACTTGAATTCATTATTTCCAACTTAAATTTCAAAATAAAATGCATTAACTCTATTTATGGTATTAAGCAGATTATTATCATTTGATGCATCACATTGATACATCTTACTATAGTATTTCTATAGTATCTTTGTTTCTTATGCAATTACCATATAAAATGATACGCTGTTCAAGTTTTTAATAACACATCAAAAACTAATCCATATAAGAATAAATAATTATTTCTTTGTAACAAGAAAGAGACAGTACCTCTTGGTATTGCCTTAGTTTTCTTATGGCTTGACTGCATCAGCAGGTCAATCCTCTCTGTCATCATCGAAGTCAAGTGATTCTGGTTTTTGCTCTGGGACAATTATCCAGAAGCATAGGATTGCAGCGATGAAAGCGAAGACGCAACCAGAACCGAGAAGTGGACCTTTCTTTCCATTTGTTGCAGCTCCAATGCCTGATCCGATGATCCAGTTAGCAAGTTGCTGGCCAACAACGACAAAAATATTGAGAATGCCCATAAGAGTTCCCATCTCTTCATCCTTTGAGCACATGCCAACAATGGCATATGGAACTGAGTTGAATACAGAGCAAGCGATACCGAGTGGTGTAAGGAGACCGAGTGCTGCCCACTTGTTGTGGATGAAGAAGATTGGGATGAGGCAAACAGCTTCAATTATCTGAGAAAGAGCATAGGAGAGTTTAAGACCGATGCACTTGATTACCATATCCTGAACGAATGACCAGATCATAACAAGGATTGATGAGACACCAATGATGATGAGTCCGAAGCGAACGCCTTCATCGTAGTCGAGTCCTTGAAGCTTGTAAATATCGGTGCCAACATAACTTGAGCATTCATTGTTGAATTCAGTGTAACCCATCCATGAGAAGAGATATACGATGGCGATTCTCCAAACTGGCTTTGGCATTGACTTGAATTGTCTGAAGATGGCAATGAATGGGTTTGGTCTATCAATCTTATCTGTAAACTGTTCTTCGTGAGCTGTCAAAACTGTGATTGTAACACTGACGATAATGAATACAATGCCACAGATGATAACAAGCTGCTGGTAGTTAAGGGATGTGTGCTTAGCAACGTTGAAACCACCAATGAAGTTAGAGAATACTTGCGCAAGACCGAGAAGTACAGCTGCAATGGAGTTTCCGAGAACTTGCTGTGACTTTGGAATGATATCTGCAATGATTGTTCTTGCTGGAGCTTGGAGGAGATTTACGGAAACAAAATCGAGGACAAGTGCAATGATAAGGAAGGTAATACTCCATGGACGTGGATTTGAGCTGCTGATACCCTTTCCGATTTCTCTGCAGAAGTAAAGGAAGAGGAAGCCGACGATTGATCCTACAGCACCTGTAATGATGAATGGTCTTCTTCTGCCAATTTTTGCATGGAGAGCATCACTGTAGTAGCCAACAAGTGGCTGGCAGATGAATCCTGCGAGTGGACCAATGAGGTAGATGAGTGATCTGTAAACTTGTGGAATGTTGATGTCTTCTGAGTCCATAATCGGAGAAAGGAGACCGAAAACGACAGTAAAAACTGTTTGAAATCCGAACATTGATGCACAGATACCGAATATTCTCCATAATGAGAGTCTATCTCTCTTTGCAAGTGGAATCCAAACTTTGGAATCTTCTGTCTTTTCGACTGCATCCATTTCGACATCTTCGACACGCTTTGTGTCAATATTGCTTGTATTAGTAGCAACTGGAGCCATGTTTTGCTGAGCTCTTTTTAAAAAATGATTAAAGTTTTATCCATTCAAATTATTTCTTATAATTTTTGATAATTACATTCAATTAATTGAGCAATATTCAATTTTGAAAATACGGGTTAGAATAGATCAAGAACCATCATTATTTCGGATAATATCATAAAACTTGTTTGGATAGTGCTATTTTTCTTGTTTTGGAGTGATCTACATGATTTCTTTCAAATCTTTTTGAAATTATTGACCTATTAATGCGAAAATATCAGGGAAACATCTAAATCGAGACATATATCATGTTAATCATCGTTTGACCTAAAAAATATCAAAATAGTTTATGCTTTTCTATACTTTTTGTCATCCGCTTTCAAATTTACCGATCGCGCATTTTCTGTTTTTTAATATTCCTTACTATGTTTAAAACAATTTTTTAAAATGAAAAATTTTTTATTAACTTTACAAAATTCATTTATTGATAAAACTCACCCATAGAGAGCCTTATAGTGCAATATGCATATGTCTTAAGTTTTTCAGCAACGCGACAAACAGACCTTGTCATTTGTTTTATGTAATAAACCTATGTTTTCATTATTGATGTATCGTGTGATTATATTTCAAAATGAATAAAGGTGACCAAACTATTTTTTGAAAGTCCGCCATAACTTTAATGGTACTATTTCAGCGTGTACAATGAATACAAAAATTCTAAGAGTGCCACATAAAATAGTACTTTAGACTTGAGTTAATGCTACCAAGCAAATGTTAAAAAGATGACTTTAGTGTTTTGATAATCAAAGATTAAAATCATTATTGTCTAAATCAATAATCATAACGACAGAAGTTAATGTTTTTTCATAAGTGCTTTAAATCCACTTTTAAAAGTATACCTCAAAAATCAAAATATCAAAAAAAAATTGGCCGATAGGTTTGGCTTTAATTTTTGTCTGCTTTTATGATTTGATATGGATGTTATAATTTTAAAAGTTGAGCCAAATTCACCAATAGATTTTTGAGATTTGCAAATACTCAATAATTTTCAGCGTGTTATCTTTTATTAAAAGAACTATTTGGTTTCAGTATCATATAAATTGATATTTACTTTCTATTTGAACCTTCATTTAGCTAATGATTTAATAATACAGATTTCATCTAGTCCTTATAAGAGAATTTTGAATTTGTTATAATAAAAAAACAAACAGATATAGCTTACACTTCTATAATAAAGATACCTTTTATAGAAATCAGTATGAAATGTGTTTTTTGACACGTAAAGCTCTCAATTCATTATAACATGTTTGTCGATTTTTATATATTTTTCGCTTTCATTATCTATGATATTAAAAATTATGTCATCAGAATGTGAAATAATTAAACAAATGCCCTACGAGAAGTATTTTATACTCGAATTTATTAAAAAAATCACTGTACTTAAATTTTTTCGAAATTTATCAAAACTCGAAGGTAAATCATCGAGTGATATGCGAAAAAAACTTTTTTATTCTATTAATGATAATAAATATATTAGCCATATTAAAACTTTTCATTTTTTAAAACTCATAGAAATACGTTTGATATTCTTCATTAAGAACATATAAAAACGAGTATAATTATCATATCCTGTTAATTTACAATATAAATGCTTTTCTGCTTGTAGTAAATATCAAATAAGAAAATAATAACATTATAAATTTTTCAAATAAGAATATATTATCTAGCATCTAAGCATGAAGATATTTAGAATTTAGATATCCAAATTCTGCTTAGATTACTTTCAAAATATAAGTCAATAATCTTTGATTTTATTAAACGCTAATATTGGATAGTATATTTTCACAATTTAATTGTAGTTAGATAAATGATAATTCATGTAACTCATTGATTTCGATCAAAAGTTATATTCACCTTGTTAAAAAAAAATATAAAAAAAACGGGTTCTTACTGATTTGAACATATTGCTTTTGAAATCAACGACATAACCAGTAGGCTAAAAGTACAGTGATTTTTTTAATAAATTCGAGTATAAAATACTTCTCGTAGGGCATTTGTTTAATTATTTCACATTCTGATGACATAATTTTTAATATCATAGATAATGAAAGCGAAAAATATATAAAAATCGACAAACATGTTATAATGAATTGAGAGCTTTACGTGTCAAAAAACACATTTCATACTGATTTCTATAAAAGGTATCTTTATTATAGAAGTGTAAGCTATATCTGTTTGTTTTTTTATTATAACAAATTCAAAATTCTCTTATAAGGACTAGATGAAATCTGTATTATTAAATCATTAGCTAAATGAAGGTTCAAATAGAAAGTAAATATCAATTTATATGATACTGAAACCAAATAGTTCTTTTAATAAAAGATAACACGCTGAAAATTATTGAGTATTTGCAAATCTCAAAAATCTATTGGTGAATTTGGCTCAACTTTTAAAATTATAACATCCATATCAAATCATAAAAGCAGACAAAAATTAAAGCCAAACCTATCGGCCAATTTTTTTTTGATATTTTGATTTTTGAGGTATACTTTTAAAAGTGGATTTAAAGCACTTATGAAAAAACATTAACTTCTGTCGTTATGATTATTGATTTAGACAATAATGATTTTAATCTTTGATTATCAAAACACTAAAGTCATCTTTTTAACATTTGCTTGGTAGCATTAACTCAAGTCTAAAGTACTATTTTATGTGGCACTCTTAGAATTTTTGTATTCATTGTACACGCTGAAATAGTACCATTAAAGTTATGGCGGACTTTCAAAAAATAGTTTGGTTACCTTTCATATAAAGTCAAATTATAATTTGCAGTTATGCTTTAATCAAAATCTATATTGAAACGCTTTGTCACATCCATTAAAAAGGCTGTCGCATATAAATCCAAACATTTGCTTGGTATGTACTTTTCCATTTTAACGTCCTGATTGATATAAGCATGTTTTACACTTTAAAATAGTAATTATGACAACCTGTACACCATAGAAGTAGGCTATAACAAGAAAAATTAGATTGACATCGAATAATTTCAAGATTTAGAAACAATTTGTAGCTTTCTCAATTATCTAGAGTTAAAATTCATTTATAATGAGGTCATATATTTTAATTATCTTGTAATAAGGGTTTCGTTTTGCGAAAAAAACGTACAATACGCAATTTCGCTAAAAAAACATTTCGCTAGCAATTTCGACCTTTGACTCCACTCAAGACGTCACTTTTTTAATTTTGCGGTATCATATTTTTGGAAAATCTTTATGAATATTATATAAAAAGTCTCTTTAATATCTATATTTCATATTTTTATCGATTTTTAAAGTTTTTGCGAAAAGTATTCAATTATTTTTGCTATTTTGTCGGGTAAATGTCAGATTTGCGACATTTTCTGATATGATATTCAGATTCTACGTTTATATAGTAATTTATGCTTTACATGTTTTTTATATAAATTTTTATTGAATTCAAATATTCAATAGTTTTTTTATGCTAGATTAGTTGTATTTATTTAAATATATTATATTGGCAACCTTTCTTTACCCTGTCCTAATAAACGCATTTTGTAAAAAAAATATAGTGCATCAGTTTCGAACTAGCGTCCTGGGTACCCAATAGTAAGGGGTAATAACCATTCGACCATTTGCCACGTAAAGCATCGCCGGATTTTTTTGTATTTAATCACTCCCAAAACACTGTTTTGGCTTATTGGAAGCATATCAGACATAATCGCCATAATCAAAAAATCTATATGCCCAATAAGTAATAAATTTGTCGATATAGATTTTCCATAAAATTAGTTTTTAGTCTGATCTTAAAATAAATTTAATTTTTTATAAAAAAAAATCACATTTAAAAGTACCTTTTTAGTAGCTCGAAATCCTGTTGGTGGATTTCGGGCGTACTTCAAAATTAGCTTTTCTTCTACATATGCAAGCTATATTTTAAATATGGGGCAAATCGGATCGGCGAAAGGAGTTTAGTTACCTTTAAATGAATAAGATATTATGTTATAACATTATTCATGATGTACATTTCTAGCATTACCAGTACACAACAAGCAATTTTCCTATTATTAATATGCACCAATTCATGTGTCGATTTATATGTTTCTACAATTCTGTTTATTACAATAGAAATAGTATAAAATATGTACTCAATACTACTATACAATTGGGATATTATGAGCTATGAAACACTTTTGAGCAGTTTGGATGATAAAGACAAATTCATATTATAATTACCTGTGTTTTGAATATGATGAATCTTTTTTATAAGCTCATCTGGAAGCATTTACATACATGTGTCATAAAAAGAATCCATCTTTGCAAAATTTCTCATTTTTCTCAATTTCTTATTTTGAATTGCTGTTATGACATAAATAGCGTACCTGTGCATAGGCAATTTTAATTTTCTTTGGCCTTGCTTTGAACTGAAATCCTAAATTTTGGTGCATCTAAGAAATCCCTTAATTTCAAAGAAATATTAATGAAATTCAAAAGGAACTTATGTATCTAATACAACACCTGTTTCACAAATATCTTTTTTTAACTCATTTCGATGCGTGCAACAGAACCACCCGAAGTTTCAGTTGCTACGATCGAAGGTATTATACTCCGAAATTCTATCACATTCGAAACTTTAGTCGGAACTAACAATTTTGGGATCGCTTGGTCTCAAAGATCTCCAATTGTTTTACAATATATTGTAGATCATATAGATGAAGTCATGAGATATGCTCTTATGATCACACCACCACCTGCATCTGGTCTTCAAGGAATTTGTTTATCGATTTTATCGAGTCGAGAAACAGAATTATACAATAAATTATTCGATTCACAGACATTCCTTAATATTGTACAAGAAATCCCACAAAACATTACAAAATATACTGTTCGTACTCAAGTCATGTATTTTGATTTAATAAATACCATATTAATTCAGACAAATTTTACTTTATTTAATCAATTTGATATGAAACAGTATTTCAAAGTTCTGGCATCTACACTCATCCACGATACTCCTGCCAGGTTTATCCAGTCAATGGTCATTTCTTTGACTCCATTATCATTTTCTGTTTTATCCAACGCCGAACTTGTAAAAATTCTATGTCAAGAGTACATAAACGATACAGTCAATGGCATTACAGCACTCAGATTGATCCAAAACTGCTTCATTAATGAGTTTTTCCTCAGACATGCGGCAGAATCATTCGGAGACAGAACATTGATACTCAATATATGGAAGAAAGCCGATAAAACTAGGGATGTACACGGAATCGACTTCCTAAGGACACTTTTTTTGACTTGTGTTCCATTTATTTCACTAAAAGAGTGGAAATATGTGGCCGACGAGCTGATTAAGCTACTTCCCAATGTTTCTAGGATACTTTTGAGCATGAGTTATTACGGAATCTATGAAAATTCTATCGGAAAATTATTTATTGCTCTTCAAAACGGTTCTGGACAAGTTGAACAATCGGGATTTGATATAACAGTCAATGCAATCGATATGATGTTCAAACAGCCCATTAATTCCTTTGTTCATAACTTTGCGATGTATTCAGTTCAAAGTTTTGTACAATGCAACGGAGATATCGACTTGCTACTAGAAAAAACACAATTACCAAAGAAAATAATACAGCAATACCTCAAGCGTGGCCAGGTAACAGCTGTTTATTGGGGACAATTAAGAGTGATTTCGGAAACTATCGAACCATACATTGATACGACTCATTTATCAAATTGGTCGAATATTATCACTGAATCGAACCAAAATACCCGACATTTGATGGATGTTCCGTTGGAAGAATCACATCCAATTCTAAACAAGAAGCAAACGTCGTCATTGTTGTTGGCATTGCATAGACTTCCAAAGAGAAAGAGAGCCGTGTTGATGGTTGGCTTAATTTCCTTTATTTTGTTTATTTATGTTGCGATATTTGTTTAAGTTCTTATATTATAGAGTTACAGACAATAGAATATATTTGTTGTTATATAGTCTTACAAAATCTATTGCTTGTTATGTAAATTTTGTTTTTTATTTCTTCGAATATAAGATTTTTATTTTTTTTTCCATATAACTACCGCTCCATCCATTAAAAAAGTGCTCCATTAGCCAATCTTTATCGTTGATCAATAAAAGTTGTCGAATTAAAAGAATTTCAGAATAATTTCAGTGTCTTAACTTAATTTAAAGGAATTTTCTATGTGATTATACCAAACCCTTTTTCTTTTCTTTTTCAATTTTATTCGCCCCATAGCTTTCTCCAAAACAAGAATTTTTTTATCGGCACTGCTTGCTTTTGTCAAAAATTTAGTATTGAAATTTTGGATAATACTAAACCTTGTAGTAGTACTATATCCTTTTTATTTTAAATTCTATCGGTTTTCTCAAAATTTTTATACTAAAATTTTCGATATGTTAAAAGAGCGTGCACTAAAATGTCTCAAAACCAAGAAACAAAATATCAACTCTCCATACATAATACCATCTGAAAAAAGAGGCTGGAGTTAGATGGCTTATCTTCAGTTTATGATTTCCAACTTCGCAACCAATATGTCTTGGATTTTATTTGGCAGCAATTAGTTTATCTGAAGTCAAATGAACAGAGTACATACGGCAAAATAATCAAACAATATTACTCAAATACTCCTTACTATTTTGCATACGCATTAAATTCTGACCAAAATAAGGTTTCACATGTTGTTGTAGCAATTGATATATTGGCAGGCCCATGGAAATCTCTTGGACGTTTCAATATGTATCTTTACATTCCAAGCTTCAAATCCTACACTGATGCTTTTAAACTTTTTAATAGATTCTGTCGCCCACCGAAAGACTTAAAAATCTACATCGAAAAATTCGAATTTTTCAAGGGATATCCATCTACAGAAGAAATGTCGAATAATCAAAATTTAAGAAATATCGCAAATTGTGAATATTATCATGTCTTTTTTAAATACACAGAGCAGTCAATTAAGTCACCAGAATTTGGGTATGTTTGTGTGATGAGATACGATGGCTTTTTATGGGATTATCATCACTTTCGTCTTTACGTAGGAATGTTTGATCACTTGGGCGAACTCCAACCTATAGTTATCAACAAAGATGGATCAATTCAATATATCACTGATGAAGAAATACCAATGAATAAGTATCATAAGAATCAGATTTATACACTTCTTGATGAATAAACAGTTTCTTTATTCTTGCTATTAGTTTGTTATTTGCATATTAATTAATTATTCTTTTAATAACGCACTCATGATTCATAGAAGTACAATTGATAAGATATTTGAGGTTACTTAGATATAAAGAGATAATATTCAACTTTCCAAAATAAAAAAATAAAACAAAATTCAAAATATTACCTACTTCAATATGCTGTATAACGGTTATGATGAATGTGTTTTTTCCTTTCATAATTTTTTATGACTTAGAGTTATTAATATAGGCTAATAACAAGTAACATTAATTTGAAGATATCAATAATCAAAAAAATAAGCAATTCAACGTAATATACCGATATAAAAAAAAAAAAAAAAAAAAAAAAAAAAGGTAGTGGGGCTTCCAGGGGCTGCGCCCCTTCTAGCCCTGAAGATGTTTAGTATAAATGTTTTAGTCTTAAATTGTTTTTTTATTCGGTATATTCTGAATCTTGAATGTCTTGGAAATTTTCTTCTTCTTCGCTGTCTGAGGTGAGGATTTCTTCGACTTCTTCTTCTTCGCCATTGGGAGCAACAAATCCTGCGATGAAAACTTTGTATAAACCTTCTTGAGGAGTCTCTATGATGAAAGTCGTATTGTTGAGGAAATGGAACTCGACATCTTGAACAAATTGGCAACTGCTGTGTGTGAATTTTGCAATTGTGAGAGGCTTTCCTTTAGAGCCCTTGGGAAAGCTTGAGATAGTTACTGTTCCTCCATATGGAACTCTGGCAGGAATATCTAAAGCAACAGTTGTTATAACGTGGAAATTGTCTTGAAATTCTGGTAAAGGTTCAATGCAGTATAGTCGTTTTGACTGGTTGTCTTTTGTGTAGAAATATAAATAGAATGACCTTTCACCATGTTCATTCAATTCTTCCAAATAATTGTATGAATTTGGATATAAACGGACAAATTCAGCAATTTTAACTTCTTGTAAATGCTTCTGCAAGTTCTTTGGAAACAAGTGAATGAACTGGTCAATAGCTTGCAACGCTATGAGATTGGCAGTAACGGGTAAATATGAAGCAAACATGTCAACAAGTACGCCAGGGTCTTTTATTTCGTTTTCAAGAGGCTGAATGGCATCCATGACAGCTTGAAACATCTCGTTATAATCTCGATTGTCTTCTGAACCCCACTGTTCATTTAACTTATCTAACAATTCTAACCTTTTCTTTGCGTATTTTCTAAGAACTTTCTCTGAAAGAGGAGTGTCGCTATCTTGTGTGTCTTGAATTTGAGACTTAAATTGTTTGCTAAAGGCGAGATATCGTGTTTGCGACCTAGTGGTCATTGCAGAATGTGTTTCTGTATGTTCGATTGGATGTGTTTCTGTATTTTCGGGTGGTTGTGTTTCTGTATGTTCGATTGGAGTCTGATTGGTATGAACTTCTTCTGAAAATGCTTCTGTTCCGATAGTTGTTGTTGCCTGACCTGTTGGCTGAGCTGTTTCTTTGTGCAAATGCATATTGTCCAACAATTTGTCTTGAATTGTATGAGGAGGTTGCTTTGGTATTATAGGAGGTCGTAAGGGTTTTGAGAATGGTGAGACATAAGTTGTAGGAACTTTAACTGCAGAGGTAGTCGACGAATTGTTTGCGACACTTTTTCTTCCTTCCATTATGAAAAATAAACTGTTTTTTTCGGACTACTCATAGAAAAGTTTAAAATAAACCGTTTTCGTCAACGGTAACCCCATCTATAATTTTATTTTATTGAAAAGTCTCCGTTGGCAAACCGTTCCATCTCAAATATTTGAGAAGATAACTTCACATTTTGACTTTTAAATACATATTTTTCACCATCGGACAAACTTTTGACAGAAAGGAGCTTACACATACTTTACACTTGTCAAAATATTTTTTAACATACGATAGTATATATTTGCTCGAACAAATAATGGTCTATCGTCAACGCTCATAGAGATAGACCCACTTTTCTAAAGTATATATTTGAGTACTTTAAAAAAATATTATAGAACGATATAACAAATATTTTACAAAACTGACAACACTTTGACCGAGTAGTTTTTTGTGCTGAACAAAAGTGTCATATAAACATCTGTCAAAAACCGCTTTTTAACTTCACTTAAAATGCCACGTAAGCTACGTAAGAATATACGTAAGAGGAAGAGAGCATTGAAACATCCAATAAAAACTAACACCACAACAACAGTTGCAACAACAAATGATGAATGACCCCACTATGTTGCAACAAATGTCAAGCAACCCTATGCTTTTAAACCGAGTTATTGGTGCACAGAGTGGAGGTTTAAGAGCGGCACTTTTAGCGAAAATGGCAGGCTATGGTGGAGCTGCAGACGGAACAGCTTATAACCCTCAAAGTCAAATGAATTTGAGTTCACTCAAAAATCAAATAACAGATGTCAAAAAGTCAAACATAGACATACAGAAACAAATAAGTGAAAACGAAAGAAACTAGAATATGACAGACACACAAAGAAACTCAATGAGTTAAACGTAGAGAAAAAAAAAAAAGAACAACTGAAAGAACTAAGTACAGAGGGATATGCGAAGAAAAAGTGTCAGAAAAAGCAGCAGAAGTAGCAAAAATGGAACAAGATGTTATAAATTTGAAAAACCATACTACTCAATATAAAATACTGAAAGATGAAGAGATAAAACAAAAAGCCCTGAAGACATATATGGATAGCGATGAGTATAAAAAGAAGTTGAAGCAAATGTAAAGGCAGAAAAACTTTTACAGTTGCAAAACCAAACCGTACAGTATGAAAACTTAGCACAAGAAAGTAAAAATAACGACGCGGCTATGCAAAAGGCAATGAAAAGCGCAGAATATATAAAAGCTAACAATGACTGGTTAGATGCCCAAGCCAACGCTAAAGCAGCCCAACTCATAGGGTCAATAAGGACAAAAATACAAGCGGATGAAGACAGTTCAAATGAAGCTTTAACGAATGCTGACTTTAAGAACGCCTTCGAAGCTCTTCATAGTAAGGTGAAACAAGTGAACGACTTCTCATCTGGAAAGAAACTGAAGTCTGAAGGTTTCGACAAAGAGTTAAGAGAAGTAGCACAAAATATGACGAAAATAACAGATGCAGCAACGAGACAGGCAGTTCAAAGTGCCTATGACGCCGTTAGAGCAACTGTTGTGAAAAGTCAAGAAAAAGAGTTACAACAGACCAAAACAGACCTAGTAAATGCTTTCTTAAGACGAAAAGTCAGGTAGGACATTACGCTGCAGATAACATATGTGCCAGCGGTGGAACTTATATACCACCAAACCCTCCAAGAGAAGCACCTTGCACCAGGACTACCTAAAAACATTTACATCGTCACATGGACACAGACACAGGCATGCACCAAACCAACACAACAACCACACAACAACCAACACAACACCAGCACACAACACCTCCACAACCAGCACAACAACCACACACAACCAGACAGCAACCAACAGTTCAAAACCCTGCACAACAACAACCACAAACAGAGCAAGGACATAAAAGAAGTAGAGAACAAGGAAACCAAGAATTCTTAAAAATGCTTAAAGAAGAGTGTGTTTCCCAGATACTGTTGACTTTTAGTGACAGATATAAAGAAGCTATTGGAAAAGTTCAAGGATGGAAATACTGACCCGAACCTATTTAGCTTTATGGCTCAGCACCAAAACGGATATAATCTCAAAACCTGGAAAATACAAGCTCGCTAAGGATATGATTTAATAGCATATCATCCAAATGACATGGATGAATTTACTCCGAGATATTTGATGTCAGAGCTAAATGACAATTCAACTTTCGTCATGAAACGCGTAAAAATAGAGACGGAACGAAAGAACAAAAGCTTATGAATGCGGATGACGTAGATAGGGAAATTGTTAAAAACGGTCTCGGAATATATGAAATGCCAGCAGATGAGGTACAAGAAACTCCACAGGAAGAAAGTTCAGATACAACCAGACATGGAAAAATAGTTCAGCAACAACAGCTAGAAGAGCCTGAAGGAAACGAACAAGTCACTCCTTTGGAAACTAACTTCACAGAACTAGATGAAGATTTGGAACAGCCGAAAAATCTTGACCCTCAACAAGAGTATTGCGGAGAATATGGAATATTTCCAAGAGTCTAAAAAAAATCGGCTGACATAGTAGAAGAATATCAAAAAATGTTTGCCGACATACAAAAGACTCCAGCAACCAGATGAAATATTCAGCATAGAATGGAAGAACTGAAAAAAATGTACACAAATACAACAACCCTTTTACTTACGAGCATTTAACGTTCAATCTTCGGATGAACTCGGTGAAGATAAAAGGTTAAATTTCAAGAAAACATATAGAAATGAAACATTGTTTAAAGTTCATTCAGAACCTAACCAAGATGGAAACAAACCTACTTTTTGTTTCTGCAGACGATGGAACTACAATGAGATGGGGTCATAAAGCTAACCCGGATAGGTGGTTCATAAACTTACAACCACAATCCAAGAAGTTGTAGACGCAATGGAAGTCAATGGTGAACGAGATATAGCTGGTATTTTAAGCGCGCTTTAATGCATTGAAAGATATGAAACATGCAGATATTTTGGACCAGTATGAAATGAACATGGCTGATGGAAAATAACACCTGACGTTCTAGAACATTTATCTCAAAAACTACACAGAACCATAGAGATGGTATATTTGGTGAAGAGTTTAGAAAGAAAGTTAGGGAGAGAGAAGAAAGAGAACCTATTGTACATGACCTTGCAAACGAAAGTTTACAAAATGTCATAAAAACTTACTTTGCAGGCATATCGAGAAGGGATGAATATTTAAGAAAACTCAAATGGACAGTACCAAATGAAATGTTAGTATTGAAAAACATGTTCCTGACAAAATAAAACCAACTACAGAAATAAAACGACGCAAGACTGAAAGATTGGGTTAAAAGCTTTCCCATTCACAAAAGATATAGTTGGTAACATGGAAAGAAAACCAGAATGGCTACAAAAACATATATTTGGAAACGAGCTTATTCCATATGGACAGGCACTGTTTGAAGAGCTTGAACCGGAAACTCAGGAAAGAGTCATGCAAACAATACGCGAAGACTCAAATACAAACTATGACAAACTCTTTCTAGGATATAGGTTACCTGAGATGGGCGACCAGAGCCAAAAGGCAAAAAGGACATGGGAAATTTGCAACATACTAGATGAACATAATGCAAAGATGCAACAACTTCAAGCAGAGGGCAATGAAGGAAAAAGAAGAGTTAAAAACTCAGTCAGGAAGAAAGTAAAGCTTGGTCCACGTGGGTTCTATTATGACATATAAATCCAACTATTCTATATTTTTACTCATATGAAATGTACGCCGCTCAGAATATAACGCCAACAGTTTTGGATGCATGAATGGAAATGTTTCCGAATGGTATAACGAATGCGACAATGCCATTAGAAGGTCAGAAATAGTTCCTGGAACTTACGAATATACAACTGCTGTTTCTTATGGAAACGTAGGTGAGTTTGGAGAAGGTTCTTCAACAACAGTAGATATTGCTTGCGACAGGTTTCATATAATTTCTATTGACAACTCTTTCTTATACGTGGAACAAGACATTGAAATAAAACCTTCTGCCAAGTTGTCTGACAAGAAAGGTTGCAATGGAATTTTCTATGTCGGATACCAATATGCTCCAGAAGTTTTCATGGGATATAAGATATATTCTAACTCTGACTTAGTTCAAACAGTAACATGGGCAAACTATGAATGGTTCGCTTTGAGAAACTCAGTACAACCACAAGCTAGAGAACAAACAGACCAGTATGCAACTATTGAGAAAATAAGAAGACTTGACCCTAACGTTCCAGGAGTTTATGTTAACCTTTCTGGACAAACTGCAGCAGCAGTAACCAAAGTAAAACTGAAACTTAGAGTTCCTTTGTCATCTTTCCTCATCTTCAGGTTTTTAAGATACTTGCCAAACTGGGCAGGAAAAATTTCTATCGAACTTACTCCAAGCAAAAATAACTTAGTCATTGCACCAACACAAGACCCATTCACTCTTACAGAAGTAGTGGGAACAAATAAAATGTCATTCGCCGACTTTTGCAAAAACAAAGTTGACTTAGACTTTGGTTTCTCAAACCTCAACACTGAAGTAAACTATTATTTCAATGCTGCTGGAGATGCTTGGGACCCAGTTAAGTTCACATGCGAAAAATTTGAATGCAAGAGAATAGAAAGCAGACTTGCAGTCTATATGTTGGACCCAGATATTTCAAATGCTTTAGCTGCCAAATATATTGCAGTTCCACTTATGTTCCCTATACACCAAATATCTGTCAAAGACTTTGCAGGTGAAGTTGGAAACCAAAGTGCTGACCCAGGTGCAAGAACAGATATTGCTTTAACAACTGCAATGAAACATGCAGATACTATGTTTGTACTGTTCAGACGAACTATAAATGACTATTCTTGTTTCTACAACCCTGGTATTAAATATCATATAAACATAGATGGCAAATATTATCCAAGAGAAGAATATTCTACAGTTGAGGATATGAGGTCATACAACTTGACATTAGATGCTATGAACTTTAACAACAACTTCACAACAACCATTAACCCTGAAATGCAAAGTTCTATTATGCCATATGTGAAAGTATGGACTCATACAGGAGGTCAAAAAACTCAATATACAAATGGAGACCGTTCAAACTTTTGGCTTGGCATTCCATTTGCTGACTCAGAAGACTTTATGGGTGGTATTTCAACTGTTGGTACAGTTCAAATACAATATACTGGTGACAGAGACGGTCCAGATGAATTGAAAGCAAAGAAGTTTACAAAACCAATAGCACTTTTCACGGAAGATGCTCTTTTGAAGATTCGTTCGATGAAACCTGCTGGGGCTCCTCAGATTGGCATAACGACAGCTTCCATCGAGCAGATTTTGGCAGCAGGTCAGTAAGTTGTTCTTGAACTGACTTCTCTCCGTCAAATATTGACAGTACGCCAGTTTTGACATAATATTGTATTATAAACTTACCTTTAGTAATATCGGTCAGTTTTGTTGTTATATTTTTGTCTGCTTCAAGAACTTTCACCATCGGTTATACCAACTTTCTTTGCTTTATGAAAATATTTTGGTTCAGCAAAGACTGCTATTCTATAACATTTTCCATTGTTTGTATAAAGAACTATTCTGTCAATGTATTTGTATTGTTTGTGTGTGTAAACTTTGTTCTGCTTCAATTCGAAGAGATACTCGAATACGTCCATCTTTTTATTCTAAGTAAAATGTCATTTCCGAAAAATAGAAGCGTAAGTGTTTCAAAAGGTTTAATGGCGGTGGCAGATGTGAAGTTAAATTCACCAACTCAAACAAACAGTCAAAGTGTTTGTCAATGTCAAAGAAAGAGATGTTGAAGTGGGGAAACCATACGAAGACGAAGATGGTATAACAATAGTTCCTGTAAAAGAACCAACATATCCTGAAGTTAGCAGAGACTTAAGTTCTGTTGCAGATATTCGAAACGACTACCAACAACTGAAAGACAAACTTAAAACTCAGGAGAAGATTTGTCAAGCTTTAGGTATAATGTTAAACTTGGTCGAACACAACCCTGTAAAAGTGAACTCATATGTCATTGCACCTCATGAAGTTTTGAAAGAACTATTGAAACTTTTGACAGAGGCAGACGATATAAACATCAAAGAAATAGAACCCGACATTAGTTGCTGTGGTGTTTCATATAATGTCATTGACAAGATATACGTTATGAAAGGAGGTGAAACGTTGAACTTAAAATATAGTTTCCCAGACGTCATAAAAATATTTGACGACCACAACATTTCATTAAAATTTATTTGCTAAGTAAATGGCAGAAGACATATGGTTTATACTATTACGACTAAAAACCCTGAGTCATATAATTCTATAACAACAAACTTACAAAGTCCTCAAGGACGATATTGTAAACTAACCTTAAACACGATGACGACTAAAGCCTGTTTTGCTCTTTTGACACCAGAAGACTTTTTTGTTGTGAATGGTAAAAAATACTCTTTGAAGATACTTACTCAGATATACCACCAACAGGTTTTGTTGACTTATTTAATACTTTAAGGACGGATGTAACATGTGCTGCAACTAGAGCAGGTTTCATTATGTTTGGATGTCCGACTGAGTTTTATAAACGATATGAGCTATAATACAAAACTTATATCTGGTTTTTACTACCAACAGTTTCCTATAACAGGAAAAGGTGTCATACAAGGTTTGTCTGTTCCATTGACTTTAAGTACACCTATTTTATATATTGTTTCAAACTTAGGTTCAAAGTGTTATTCGAATGTCGACAGAAACTACTATGACCAAAAGATACTCATGCGTATAAACAACACTTTCTCTGCTGGTTTGCCTATTGTTCATTCGAATGCAGAGTTTTCAGCTTTAGTAAACTCAAACACTTTAGCAAACATAAACTTAACCTTAGTTGACGCAAACTTTGTTCCTGTAAAACTTTTATGTCCTATGTATTTGTCAATGACGGCAGAAAGTTTCGAATTGGAAGATGCAACTGGTGAAAGTATTGTATTACAAGAACAACTTCAACAACAAATAGCTCAAGAACAACAAATGCAACAAATGGAACAAATGCAACAACAAAGTCAAGAATAAAAAAAATATTTTTTTTATTTTTATAAAAATGTACAGAATAGATGTTTCAGATTTTTATGACTTCCAAGCATTCAGAAATATGTGTCCATTTAGAGACTATAACAAAGCAAGTCGAGATTTGAAACGTTTAGTCATTTATGTCGACTCTGCCCCAGAATGTTATGTCATGAAAGAATGGGATGTTGTCTTTAACAAACCAAGAGCAACAATAGTTTCAGAACAAGAATGTAGACAGAAACTTAAGAAAATAAAAGTCGTACAAGTTGGATGAAGATGTTAGATGCTTGGGATATCTTATTGTCAAAGTTAGAAGATTTTTCAGTTCGTGGTATAAAGTTCTATACACCTTCTCCAAACTTCTATTCTATCTTCACTGGATATAAATATGAACAAGTAGAATGGAAAGAAAATATTATAGAAGCTTGGTTAGACCATGTCAAAGAAATTATATGCAATGGAAACGAAAGAGTCTATGAGTATATCTTATGTTGGTTTGCAAACATCTTACAACATCCAAGTGCTAAAAATGAAACTGCTCTCATTATAATTGGAAAACAAGGAACAGGTAAGAACACTTTCTTTACAGATATCTTATGCAAACTGTTAGAGGTATTCGAACCCTAATATGACAAACTTAGAAAACATCTGCGGTAAATTTAACTCTTCAATAGAGAATATGAAACTTATAGTATGTAACGAACTTCAAAGTATAGATACAACAAAGTTTTGAACTCAGATGCTTTGAAGAGTCTTATAACAGACAAAGTTGGAGTTGTTGAAAGAAAGTATAAAGACCAAAGAGTTTGTGAAAATGTTGCAAACTTCATTATGGTTTCAAACAATGTTGTTCCGATGAAGTTAGAAAGTTCTGACAGAAGATATGTAGTTGTCAGAACGTCAGATTCTCATATGCAAGATACAGAATATTTTGACGACTTAGCAGAAACTTTGACATCTGACTTTTACAACCACTTGTTCTCATATTTCATGACATTAGATATTTCTAAGTTCAATCCAAGACAAATTCCACATACCGAAGAGAGACAAACATTGTTAGAAGCAAACAAGAGTGTATATGAACTGTTCATAGATGAAACTGACTTTGAGTGTTTAGATGAAAGGTCATTGTACGATTCGTATAAACAATATTGTCAAGAATATGGTTATATGGCAGCTTCTAAACGACATTCTTGGCAAATGTCAAAAGTCTTTTAGATGTTCAGAATGGTGTATATACAAAGAAAAATTTTTCTGAGTAAATTTAAAAAAAAATTTTTTTATCCGATAGAAAAGATGGAAAATTCATCTCAGTAAAAAGTACATGACAGAAGTCAAAGATAAGAGACCCATTCGCATATTTGAATGTTTACTTCTACCATTTTGAAAAGTCTACATTTGACAAAGTTTGGAACATCGAACCAGTTAAGTTTGCTATTGTGACTAAAAATGGTGCGAAATTTGAAGACTTAGACATAGAAGGTTTGTTAGCAGTCAAAGAAAATTTTGACAGAAGGTTCTCAAACCTTAAAGAAGGCAAAGCATACAAACTTGTTATACCTTATGAACCAAAGAAAGCAGACGACTATGAATATTATGAGTCTAAAGTTGTAGAAGTTCAAGGTAAATTGGGTAAAAAGATTTTAGAGTCTAAGCCAGTGTTTGCTCCTAAAGAGGAAGAGAACATTGACATTGACCCAGAAATGTTCTAAAAATAAAATTTTATTTTTACATGTCAAATTTCTTTTTCTCTGGAACTGGTTCAGGTTCTTTCTTCTCTTCTCTTTTTTCTCTTTCTTTTCTTTCTTTCTTTCTTCTTCTTCTTCTCTGGTGGAGTTATGTCAAATTTCAGAACCATATTTATGTAAAAGTTCTTTGTCCTTTAATAGCTCTTCTATTCTGTTTTCTATTTCATCTTCAAGAACAGCGCATGTGTCTTCTTTGCATTCTAAGAACTTTTGTTGGACTTCATCTTTCCAATCGGCGTCATCTCTGTCAACAAGTCTGTCATTGACAAACTTAAAGACTTCTCTGCTTAATGTTTTATGGTTCTTGTCATATTCCCAGAAACAGAACTTTAGAACAAATTCACCTTTCTTGTTTACACTATGTAAGATTTTATGGTCGACAGATGTTTTGCTGTCGAAAAGTTTGTCTCGAATATAGATAGCGAAATCGCTAGACATTTTCTAAAAGATAAAAATTTTAATTTTTCTAAAAATATGTTAGAAAAAAAGTTTGCTGACATTGACAAGAAATTTGAGAATGTTTTAAACAAGAACAAGAGGAAGTTAGAAAATGCTCAGATAAAGCCTATACATGACAAGTTCTTATTTGCTCAGAATGGTATAACAGGTCTAATTGCACCACCTGGGTCGGGTAAGACTTTCACTTATCTTAAAATGGCTGCACAACAACAAGAACTAGATGAGAAGAACCCATTCTATGAGTTAGTTGTTATTTGTAGTACTTCTGGTCAATTTGACCAAACCGTCAATTCGTTCAAAGATATTATAAAGAAGTCTAAGTTAGTATGTATAAAGGATACTGAGTTGTTAGATTGGATAAAGAAGTACCAAAGAAGAGTTTTGAAGTATAATGCTATAAATGAGTATATAAATTCTAAGTTTAAAGACCCAAATGAGGAAATGCAGAGAATATTAGAGAAGAAACACTTCAGAAACAAACAGAAAGAGATAGAATACATTTCGAAGAAATTGCAATCTTACGATTGGAAGACTACCCTCATAGATGTCTTCTTATCTTAGATGACTTTGCTTCTCATCCTTTGTTAAAGAACAGAGAACAAGACATGTGTCGAATTCTTAAGAAGCTCAGACACTTTAACATCTCAGTCGTAATATGTGTACAGACAGCAAAGAGTTTAAGTAAGGATGTTAAAAGAATACTTACTGATATCATACTTTTCCCTGGATTGTCCGAAGACGATTTCATGGAACTTATGAAAGAGTCCATGGCAGGTAAGTTTGACAGACATGAACTATGGGAGAAGTACAAAGTCATACAAGACCCTCATACTTCTTTCAGAATTCATATCTACGCAAACAAAGTTCAAATTGTAAAAAGTCAAGCTTGAAAAATAAAGAGTTTTGGCGACCAGGGTTTTTTCACTACTCGCTGTTCTTCACTGTTTTCATGAGTTTTATGCAAGACCGAAAAAAGTCTGTCTAGAGAAATTTCACTGTTTTCATAGAGTTTTGGCGACTACGTTTTTTTACTTACTCGCTGTTCTTCACTGTTTTCAGAAAAAAGTATGTCTCGCTGTGCTTCGCTCAAAATAAAAAAAATATTTTATAAAAAACTAACTTTATTTTTTCTATCTTAAGGAAATTCATGAAATTTCATACGGAATTCAATAAAAATAATGTTTATGTTAGAATGTTAGATCTAACATGTTTTCTAACATGTTTTCTAACATGGTCTAAAACATACAAAATTCATGAAATTTCATACGGAATTCAATAAAAATAATGTTTATGTTAGAATGTTAGATCTAACATGTTTTCTAACATGTTTTCTAACATAACTATTTACAAGCGTTTTTACATGGTATATGTTGCGATGGTTCATGACTCTAAACAATTTCGTAGCTTCTATTTCTTCTGTCAGTATGTCAAAAGTTTTAACGATACCGAAAGTTTCTTTATACTTCTTCTTGACGTCAGATAGAAGGAAATCGTCAGCAGTTGGATAGTTTTTGTTCAGAAATTCTAACATGTTCATTTTATCTTCTGCTGGTTTTTCTGCTTCTTTCTTTAAATCTGCATAGTCGTTTCGCATACGTTCTATCTCTTTGACGGAGTAGTTATATTTCCTCATTGCTGCTTTACATTTTGAACATTGCGGGTTCATTTTTGCGTTATATTCTGAAACCTTACCTGCTAAAACAACCAAGGCGTCAATGGTTTTCTTCATCTCGAACATAGCGGGTTTTATTTGTTCGTTCCATACCTTACCCCTACTATCTTTATCTCTTATTTCCCAAACACATTTTGCAACTAACGAAACAAAGTTGTCGTAGGTCTTAAATTCTTCGGATTTGTAAAGGTCAGAGATGTTCTTATATACCATGTCGCAATCTTTGTCCATAACCTTATGGTTGCAATGAAAACCAAGGAATTCATAATTTACCTTTCGTATGAACTTCTTTATTTCTACTGAGTCAGTTGCTTTGACTTCTATTTCGTCAAATTCGGGAATGGTTAGTTTTTTGTTGTTGGATTTCAGGCAATTTGGGTAAATGGTCAATAATGTCCTGCATTTCATAAAGATACTGTTCATTTGTTTCATCTTTCGCACTACAGTCTAAATTACTTGTTAAAAGTTCTTGCTTTATCTTCTGGATTTTTGTTTCGAAAGTATATGAAGAAGGAATGAAGTTTTTCATCTCTACTAACATAGATGTTGGATTCATAACTAGCGAGTTTGGTGCTGTAGTTGTTTGAATTGTTGTTGTGCCGATTGTTGAAATCATGTCTTTTATACAAAATAAAAAAAATAAATAAAATAAAAAATAAAACTAATTTTATTTTTTATTTCGGGAAAATTCATGAAAATTCAAGAGTTTTAGACCATGTTAGAAAACGTGTTAGAAAACATGTTAGATCTAACATTCTAACATAAACATTATTTTTGGTGTAAATTTCATGAAAATTCAAGAGTTTTAGACCATGTTAGAAAACGTGTTAGAAAACATGTTAGATCTAACATTCTAACATAAACATTATTTTTGCTGAATTCAGCAACAAAATTCAAATTGTAAAAAGTCAAGCTTGAAAAATGTAAGTGTTTAGTCTTAGTAAGATGGTAGCTTCTTAAAGCAAATACCATTGCTGAGTTTTATGTACGTGAAGAGAAGTACAATGAATTCAATTACGAGTACAATTGCAATGACAACTAAGGCAACTATTTTTGTCTTTTGCCAGCAAAGGTACTTCTTCTCTTCCAATGGTTCGGCAGAACTATACTCACTCATGAGAAATGCCAAAACGGTTTAATAGAAAAAGTGTTATTTTTTCATGTCCGAAGACTCGAAGGTGCAACACTTCCAAAATACCGACGAACTCAGAAGAGCAGCATGGCAGTATGTTCTTGACAACTTCTTTGAGTTCTCCAGGCACACCTTGGAAAATGCTGAAGAACTCCGACACAGAGAATTTGGAGAAATTGCACTCCAATACTACCTTGACAAACAAAGGGTAAACAAAGGGTAAAATAAGACTAAAAACTTAACGTTTAAAAAGTGACATTTTTAATGAGCTCCGAGTCACCGAGAAAACTTGGTCAGATGTTAGCAGCTTACTTCCCTGAGGAGGATGGAAGCGTTACATACATAAGGTTCAAAAACAACGAACCTGGAATTGCGTACCAAATTCGCAATTACATGACCATGGAAGAGTACGAAAGGTTTCTACAAGAGAAACCAGCTCTAAACAACTCAGAAAAGAAAGAGTAAAAAGTTTAACTCGTAATTGTTTATTTTTTTACTTGTATGGGCAAGCTGCAAGAATGAAGTCGACTATCTCAGTCTTTGTTTTGACGAGCTGGACGGCTCTTGCAAGTACGTCTGTTTTGCGGTCTCCAGCTGGTGTCTGACCTTCGTAATTGCGCATGTTCTTGAGAGCTCCAACTGTAAATGATTGTAGGATGAAGAGTCTCTCAGACTGCTTGAGGTAGTCTTCACGGTCACGAACTGAATCTGTGGTACGAGTCGAATCGGTCGATTTGAGGGAAGAGACTGAAAGCCTGTCATCTTCCATAGGGGCTGTGGCATAATCTTTGCGTAAGCGGTTCAGACCTTCTTCGAACTCTTGGTCTCTCTTCGATTGAGATTGGAATTGGAATTGCTGGGGTGGAGCTTGCTGGAACATCCAAGGGTTGGGGAAGTAAGGCATAGGCTGAGGAGGGTAGTTCGGGAAGCCTTGTGGTGGGTAGTAACCTTGAGGTGGAAATTGGTAGTAAATCGGAGGTACTTGCTGGAACTGAGGTGCAGGGGCTGGTGCTTTAGGTTCCTCTGGTTTGGGAATGGACTCGGTTGGTGGGACGTCGGACATTCGTTTGTGTCCTGTGGGATGGAAAATATTTTTCTGTCGGAAGAAAAAACTTTTTCTGTCGGAAGAAAAAACTTTTTCTGTCGGAAGAAAAAACTTTTTCTGTCGGAAGGAAAAACTTTTTCTGAAGTTCGACCAAAAAGTTCTCAATTTCGAAAATTTGAATGGTTTACGGACGGACAACTGGAAGAGTTCTTCCTGTCGTCGGGAAAATTTTTTCCCTTTGTCCGGAAAATTTTTTCAAGTTGTCGGGAAAATATTTTCCTGTCGGATGGAAGGACTCGGAATACCAGAAGGATTTGACGAGGCAATTTACCTTATAGAGATAAATGAAGTTGTTAAGCAGTACTTGCGCAGGGTAATGAAGCCCAAGGTCAAGTTCACCGCTATTTCTGGAAGGGCTGCCTTGAATCTCGAGACTTCGACTGGAATTCCAATTCAAATACCAGAAAAAACTCCTTTCGACGACATAAAGGACGCCAAAAGAGAAACTCTTGTTAAGTTCCTAAACAAACGTCCTTGGATAAAAATACCAAACAAGGAGAACCCCCTACCCCATATGAAATTGGCAATTCAGTCTCTCCTTCACTTCTCGGGTCAGCCGTTCTACATAACCTGTGAAGGCGACATCCAACCAGTTCAGTCAACCTTAACGTTTTGAGTAAAAACATTTTTTTTCATTTTTTGAATGAAGCAAGTTAAATTCGTCCCACACCAATCTCAATGGACCGATGAAGAGTTTCAAGCCATGGTTGAAGGCGTTGAGAACGACATAGACGGCGAACTTGAAGGAGCTCAAACCACAATTGCAACCAAAATTGCAGAAGTCAAGGAACAAATAGCTCCACTTAAAGCTACCAAAGCTACTCTTGACCTCATGGATAGTTACCGTTTAGATGTCAAGAGTGGAATAAGACAATTAAAATTAAAACTTCTAAACTACGAAGCTATACTCCAAAAGTTAGCAGAAATGAGAAGACTTTACCAGAGCTACTTACATGTAAGGGACTTACCTTCAAGCAGTCCGACCAAAGATGAATTTGTTGACATTGTCCCAATTTTGTCCGAAAGTCAGCTCAGATGTTTCGAACTGCTCCCAACATATCCAGAATATGAACGTTTGCCTGAACTCTTCCGCAATCTCAAAAAACGTTTTTTGGTTCTCATGTTCGAAACTTTTATCGGAAGAGACAACAAACGTTCAGAAGAAGAGCAAGATATTATTTTAAACTTGTTGTATGACTTAACTGTCATAACAAGCTTTTTGAAGTAAAACCGTCATTCTCAAACCACTTCATTTTTTCGATGTCCGAACAAGCACCGAAGCCGAACACAATAGCAGATGTCCTTTCAAGGTTGCCAGACAAGCGCCCAGTTCAAATTCAAATTGCCCAATTGAAAGCTCATCTGACAAACACCATTAAGACTCTCCAAAGTAGTCTTATGACAGAGATGACCAATCTCAAAACCGAAGTCCTCACGAACCAAGCTTCCAATGAGAAATGCCTGAACGATTTCACGGAAACCTTGCGCATTTACGCGAGAGAGAACCGAGACCTTGCCAGACTCATCTACCGTTTCTTCGAAGAGATAGACGCCATCTGGAAGGTACTCGGAAAGGACAGAACATGCAACACCGTAATTCGTGAACACAGAATTGAAGAAGGAATTGTCGAGGAAGAAGAGAAACACGAAGAAGAGGAAGAGGAAGAAGAGGAAGAAGAGAAACACGAAGAAGAGGAAGTTTGGGCAACCCTTGTTGCCGATGACACTTACGAAATTTCCCAACCCTACCCATACCAAATCCGCAACAGGGAGACCGGCAAGGTTCTTACCCCAGTCCTCAACAACTTGGGACACTTGAACCTTAACCTTCGGAATCGCGGTTCAATTTCCATGGGCAAGCTTGTCGCAATTCAATGGGTTCCAAATCCAGGCAAGAAGACGAAGGTCAGACACATTGACGGTGACAAGCTCAACAACCGTAAGGAGAACCTCGAGTGGTTCTAAGAGTAAAAAAATTTTATTTTAGGGGGAAACCCCAAGTAAATTTAGGTGTTTATTTGGATAAGTATGTGAAATTAAGGTCAATTTGCAAAATTAGTTCCCGACCTTTGAATTGGACTCTTTCGTCATCCCAGTTGCGTAGGAGGTCGTCCCAGAGGAGTTGGTAGATTTGCCAATCCAAGGACGATTTGTCCTCCCAGGCATTGAGGATGTACTGCTCGTAGAGTCTCATGACCTCTCCCTTGCACCAGACACCCTCTTCCTTGGAACGTAAGGCTTCTTCGAAGTGCTCGAATGCGATTGGCTGCTTGACCATCCGAAATGACACTTTTTGTACGTTTGGTCAATGTTCGTGTCTCGTGCCATAGTCGACGAAAATACAGACAAACAGGTTATATATGAGTTTGAGACCAAGAATGGTGTAACTCGACCTGTCCGATTCAAAGACTCCGAGGGCGACCATGAAATTAAACGGAAATTACCTAGGAAGGAATATAAAATGGACTGGTTGCCACCACCTCCACCTCCACCACCTTTACCTGTTCCTCAAGTAAATAAGCCTTTCCCGTTCCCAAGAATTCCCACATTTTAATTCAAATTCGAATAAAAATTTTTTATTTCATGCAATGTTTTATTTCTGTGCCGTCTTCAAGTATGCCCCAGTACTTACGCTTGGAGAGGACATGAACTTCGGTGAAAATTTTGTCCAATTTGAATTGACCCATCTTTTCACCGACCATGCCCATTTCAATGAGTTTGTTGTACCCTTCTTCGTTCGTCATGAGTGCGTCAATGTTCTCATAGTAAACCTTCACTTTGGATTTGACTTCGGAGAAGAACTCATTGTAGTTGTCAAGGACTGCCTTTGCGAACTGAGGATAAGACCAATGTTCGACAATAGGTTTTACTGTGGTTACTAAGCCACCTTGACCTTGAGTAAATTCGTATTTCAAAACAAAAGGGGAGAACCTTTCAACAAAGTTGTCGACCTTCTCATAGTGTTTACTCTTCATCTTTGAGGTTTTTTAATGGAATATCCCCATGTCGAATTCATAAGCAATTTGATTGTCATTGCAAGTTTGGGGTTTGAAGCTTTCCTAATATCATAGAGTTGTTGTATGACTTTTCCAACTGTATAGTTCCTTCCTGGGAACTCACCGTCTTCGTTTGGAATTCCAGTCGGATATATTGGACGAACCTCATGTATGCAGCGTTAAGGTCGACATAGTATATCTTTTCGTTTGAGTCGAACTTGTCGCAACCAATGGTCCAGTTCGTGGAAATTCAAGTGAGTCTCTTATCTTCTGAGAAACTTCGCCTGCTATCTCATAAACATCGTCGAAGCAACCTGTTTCATATAAAACCTTCTGACCTAACTCCGATGCTCTCCAATACAATTTGACGTCAATTGGATGTCTCAATGGAAGTTTGTTTATAGCATCTTGAAGTCTTGCAACCTCATTGAAGTTCTTCTGGTTCAGGTTGGTATCCGAACAATCCAACTCCTTTTGGAGTGTACTTCTTTTGTGCTATAACTTTGTCTGGAACAACTTTTGGTCTTGCTAACAATGAAAAGTTTGTTTTCGTCTTTTGGTACAAAGTTTCTGTCAGCTTGTCATCTGGAATTGGTTCCAACAAACCTTTCTCGAAAAGAATGTTTACAGCTCTGACAATGTTGCACTTGCCTTTTCCGAACAAAGGGTTTGTAAGACTTTCGTTCAACATGAAGTGTTGTGGACAATTGCAATCTTCAACCATGGTAAATTGAACTCAACAACATAGTCGTCATGTGAAGAACCTTTAGCTGTAGGTATGTTGACTCGGATATTGACATTTGCCAACGGTGCAATTTTTGCCAATTGACCTCTGAGAATGTACCTTGTCTTCACACATGACTCAAGATACTTCATCTTCTCATCTGTAACAAGACCAGAGTTCCTGAGACATGTAAGAATACAAGGTTCATTGACAATTGTTTCAATTGAATTGTAAATTCCATACCTTGTCAAGTCAATGTCAGACTTATTTATGAACGGGAAGTATCCAGCATGTTGTCTGACTGCTTGAGGGTTAGGTTGGTACCATTCGAACTTGACACTTGCAATTCCTTCAATTGCATTCAAAATGTCTGAGTCGGAGTCAACCATTTGTTCTCTCTTTGTAGTCTTGAAAGCGTCAAGAAATTGCAGCTGTTGTGACATTGCCATGTGCATAGTAAATGTGACCATCCAAATCTGTTATGGTCAATCTGAGATTGTATCCTTTCTTATTTCCGTCTTGTATGGCAGCAAGTACACCCATGAAGCCTTCTTTGTTCTTTCCTTCGTCAAAGTTTACTGTAAAGGTTCGACCAGATGTAATTTGACTTCTAACTTCACGATACTTTTCATATGCATATCTTGTTCTTTCCATGGGAGCATGACCATCCTCTGCACTACCTTTTTTCCTTCTCAAAGGATGCAATTGTTCGTCATGTTTCCAGTAGAATCTGGCAAAGCCGTCGTGTCCTTCAACTTGAGGTTCACTAACATCGAAAGGCATGTCCATAAGACGTTCTTCTTCTAACCTCTCTAGTCTGTTTGGATAATTGGCACGTGCTGTTTCCAAATCCATTTCGTAGCGAAGACCAGCCAATTTGTCATAGACTTTTATGGGTCTTCCCTTCCTATATTTAAAATTCTTCGAAACTCTCCAACCATATCTTTGCAACTCTGCTTTTATTCTAGCAGATTTTCTATCCATTCTATATGGGGGCATTTTTATAAAAATAAAAAAATATTTTTTTCTTTACTTTACATAACCGCCTGCTGCCATAAGTCTTTGACGCCAACCCATACCAGCTAATGAAGGTTGACTTGGTTTAGTTTGGAAACTAAACTTTGGTTTTGGTTTATCTTCAGTTTTTGGTTTTTCTTCTTCTATCGGTTTTTCGTCACTTTTCGGTTCCTCTGACTTTACCTCACTTGCAGGAACAGTTGTGTCGTCAACATCTTCATAAATATCATATGCCATTTGTTTTTGTTTTCCTTTCAACTTTTTGTGTTTGTTGTAAAGTTTAGAATATTTCGACTCTAAGTCAATGAGATGTTCTATAATGAACTGTTGGTCAGTGAAGTAAACTTTTCCATCTGTTGTCTCGAAAGCTCCTTCAGACTTCAATATTTTATTTGTGAGAGTCTGTTTCTTTTTTGAGATACTAGCCGTTCCATTTCTATGAAAAGTGACTTTATAGTTAGGGTTTGTATTTCCAGACCTGGCACTTTCTATTATTGAATTTTTCTCTTCATCTGTAAGTTCTTTGACAGGTTTTGACAATGGTTCTGAACTTTTTGTTTGTGGTGTCAAATCTACCGTTTCAACTTCTTCGGTCATTTCATCTCAGTAAAAAATTTTAGTTTGGTTTGTTTTCAACTGGTTGTTGTTTTTTAAGTCGGTCTAAAACTTCCTGAGGTATAGGAAGAACTTGACAAACACGTGGTGTAACTGCTGGAAGTCGACAAATCCATCTTGAACCCATTTGTCTCAATGCTGTATTGTTCATTTCATCTCAGTAAAAAACTTTACATTCCCCACGTTTGAGGCGGTTGAGGTTGGTTATTGTTTACCCACTGTTGTGCATGGTTATATCCTCTGTTAAAGAATCTTTCACCTTGGTCCATATAGTGTCCTGCTTGGTTATAGTAGTCATTTGCTTTGTTATAATAGTTTCCTGCTTGTCTTCCTACATTGTCCATCCATCCTTGAACTTTTCCTCTTGTTTCAGGATTTGGAATAAGATTTGCTGCATCTCGTGCTACATCCCAACCTTTCTGTACAGTTTGTATAATAGGTTGTGCTTTCTCTTTAAGTATACCTAATGTACTCAAAATCTTCCTTCCAACTC